TTTCCATTGTTGCAAATAAACAAATCGATGAAAATATGATATATATTTATATTATTTAACTATGTTTAACTTGGTGTTTGTTTTCATGTTCGATCTTAAATCATGAACCCCTATGACCGATTTGCCTCAAATTTTGATTGGTGAACTGGGTAGAACCACGGAAATATCTTAGCTTGTGTTTGAATTTTTAGATTTCCAAACAAAGCTGGGTTCCAAAGCTAGTATTTATATAAAGATGTGGCATCGCTTGAAAAAGTTGGAATAGAATATTTTTTTAAGTTTCAGAAAAATGGGGATTCCCCGTGAGAATTTTACAAAGGTAAGACGAAAAATGTGTAAGTCACTTTTGTAGAGAAACCACATATGTAAATATTCAAAACTATAAACATGGATATCTTATTTATACTTGAGCAGACAACGCTTTTAAAGGTACCGTTGTGAATCGGACATTGTCATCTTTGCATGAAGGGTTACTTAAACATTACGCGTACAATCCCTTTAAAAACATCACTTTAAAAAACTGGAAATTGTTTTTGCAAGATGTATTTACTAAAGGTTGTCAAACAATTTTTTTTAATTTAAAGATTAACATTTTTACAAATACGTATTACGTTTTTTATACTGAATGTGCGAGTTAGAATATATTATAGTAACCCTGTAATTTTTTGTATGACCTATTTGTAATTGCTATTATTGCAATATTTACGGATTAAGAGATTTTTGTTTTTCACTGTAAGTGTTTTATTGTTAAAATTATGGTTGTGAAGAGTGTGTTCTGTTATCGTAAAAAAATTATGCATAATATTCTTTAAAATTTTGATACATTTAAATTTTTGTACCAGCACTGCACTAAATAAAGAATATGTATATCTTATATGTATCGTTCAACGTCTGAGATTCTCAGGTTTCATCCTATACCCCTTTCATTTATCCTTTTCAGTCCCTTTAAAAAGAGCTTCAAAACACTTTACCTAATAGACTAAAGAATATATAGGCTCAAGAGTTTTTTAAAAATAATAAAAAATAAAACCAATAGACTTTTTAGTGTAAATAAATATTTTAACAAGACTTTAAAAGACTTGAACTACGCTTAAAAATTACACAATGATAAGACCTAAACTAGACTTAAATTAGTTTTGAAAAAAAGACGGAAAGAGCTAATCAATGTTCAATCCTAAAGAAGTAAAACTTCTCACAAAAAGTTCAATTTAATCCGTTTCTTAAACCCAACAACTCGTATAGGATTAAGCTGCGGGAATGAAATTTTGAAAAATTATGGAACTTTAAGGTTTTTATGGAAGGGAAAATATGGAAGAGGAAGGTAGGAAACGAAGGTTGGAAGATAAAGATAAATTTGGGAATGCAACTTTCCTTAAAAGTCACGAAGTTTTTCCCCAACAATCAATAATTTTTCCTAATAGTTGTAATTCAACAACAAAAAAATCTACAGTGATAATTAGAAAACTCTGGAAGAGGAAGACGACATTTATGCGTTCACCAACATGGTTCAAACGACAAAGGGTCGAACGACACAGGGTCAAACGACAAACGGTCAAAAACGCGGCAAAGGGTTAATATAGGAAAAAAAATTTTATGTATTATTTCAGGGTTTGGTTAGGTAAAGAAAATTTGTGGGCCGAGCACTGCGGCTAGGACAGGATAGGGGGCCGAGCGCTGCGGCAAGTGGTTCAAATGAACATAAAAATAGTTCAAATTAACCAAAAATGTGTATTATTTCAGGGTTTGGTTAGGTTAAGACAATTTCTGGGCCTAACGCTGTGGTTAGGACAGGCTAGAGGGCCAAGCGATGCGGCTATTAGTTCTAATGAACATAAAAATAGTTCAAATTAACCAAAAATAGTTTAAATGAAATTTTGCCCGTTTGTCGAATTTTTTGACTTTATGTTGTTTTACCCTTTGTCGCATTTTTTGACCGTTTTACCTTCAGCCGTTTGACCCGATGTCGGTGAATCCATTTATGTAATGATTAAGTGACTTTTAGCTGTAGCTTGAAAATGGGCCTGTTTTCGCTGCACATTTTGTGTTTCTCATGTTTATTGGACTATTTAAAGTCATAACTTGAGTATTTCAGTCGTCTTATCTATTCCAGAGTTTTTTGGGATATAAAGACTGTATAACTAAATATTTGCGGCGCTCCGCGCGCACAACTTCATAAATAGAATAGTGAAATATATTTTCAAGAAATATAGTATAAGTATAGATTTACAACAATACAAAAATAAATAGGTAATAATTTGCAAGAACATTTTTTCCACTGGACTGAAGTCCAACTTCTTTCCAGTGAGAATTTTTTGAAAGTATATCCTTAGGGATCCTTAGGGATTATTATCCACTGAAGTTTAAAAGGACTGTAAAAGAAAGGAAAGGGGGTAGGATGAAACCAGATAATCTCAGGCGTTGAACTATACATATAAGACTTCTATTTGATGTTCCTGTCTCGGGAAATGGATATAAAACTGTGTCAAATGTATACGAAAATTGATATTTATGCAATTAATATATATGCAATTTTGTATAAAAGTTGTAGGTTTAAACAGATCATATTCAGCAAATACGAAACCAATCGGAAAAAGACTATGTCCTACAGAAACCTGAGAATCTCAGGTTTGCTCCTGATATAAATATTTAATTTTATTTTGCATTTTTAATAGATATAATTGATAATATTATTACATTTAATCCGAATAGTCCGTGTTACATTACCAGTACTTAAACCAATGGAAGTGCAGTCACGTGATTTCCGTCTTTACCACGTGACAACGATACTGCAATGTCATTGGCTGAAGTTATTGTAACGTAATACGTTACTAGACTAGATGTAATCATATTATCAATTATATCTATTCAAATGCAAAATCAAAATTAAAATTTTTTTAAAGGAGCAAACCTGAGATTCTCATTTTCCTGTGGGATATAATCGTTTTCAGATTGGTTTCATATTTGCTGAATATTATCTGTTTAATTCTACAACTTTTATACAAAATTGCATATATACGAATTTTCGTATAAATTTGACAAAGTTTTATATAATTTCTCGAGACAGGAACATCAGATAGAAGTCTTATATGTATTATTTAACGCCTGAGATTCTCAGGTTTCATCCTATACCCCCTTTTATTTTTCCTTTACAGTCCCATTAAATCTAATTTTTTTTTAATACATGGAGGAGGAGATTGATAATATTTGAGTTAAAAACATTTCTGAATTATTGTTAGAGAAGAAAATAGGATTTAAATTATTTTCCAGTTATAAATTCTTAACATTTTCCCCCTCTCTTTATCCCCCTCCTTCCCCCTTCCCCTCCCTTGCCCCAGGTATATTGAAGTTAGGGCAGTGTTATGACCAGGACTTGGAGAAATTTTACCTCACGTCCCATCTTCTTAACAGTTACAGTTGAACCTCTTGTTCGGATACACTGCGAGTTAGAGGCAAAATAAATTTGAGAATTTTTACAATTTATATAAAAATATACCACTACAAGAAACTTAGAATTAAGAAATTAGAAAATATGTATATTGTAAGATCATTGTAATATTTACATATTTCAAATTAAAGTAACAGTCCTAGACGAAACTCCTTTACACCAATATTTACAAAATTCACAAAATTATAGAAATTCTCATATTTATCTCCTTGTAGATTGTAGAGTACACAGTCTAAAGGGCACAAAGAGGGGAAAATGGATATTACTAATAAGGAATTAATATTAAACAACCCAATTAGAATTGGTGTCTATTGATATTTTATTTCACTACCCAGATCCTCTACCCCGTTCCTTCTCCTTACTTGGGTTGTGAACAAAACTTCAAAATTTAAACTATCCAATCAAATTTAATTTCAATTATTATTTGACCTACATTATCATGACAATTAAAAGAAGACTTAAATTTTAATCTTTGAAATTTATCGGAAAAAAACTTAGTTTAGATTTCAAAGAATAACATAAAATGAAAATTATATCAACGTTCAATATTTGTTTACTCGTATAAGATACAAAGTAGGTAGATCACAGAAGGAAAAGCATTCAAGAAATATACTTTAGTCATTAGAAGAATTCCACCTGTATATCTAACTACTCATAAAAGAATATCATTCAAGGCAATCCTAATGTCGTCTTTCAATAGCCTTGTTTGAGTCTCTGTAACCCCCCTCCCATGTAACCGGGTGTTTAATTGGGCGCCCACCCTGTAGAAGAATATCTTCAGCATGATGATCTCCGAGGTGCGGGGGGCGGAGGAGAAGGAGGAGAAGGAGAAGGGGGGTAGACATACTTGGCTTAAAAACGGTTGGGTGAGTTAGTTCCATATTATTTCTTTAAAAACAACATGTTCAAAATGTTGAATTCAATAAGACAAATTTTTACGTGTTTCAAGTTGTTTGCAGCAATCTTTGATTCTTCCGGGTTCATAAAAAGTATTAAAAATCAATCTAAAATTGTTAAGTTGGTCCACTCTTTTATTCGCTGAATCAAAACATATATGTTTAGCTAATATGGTAATGTCGAGGTTAGCTTACCCATGTAGATGAGGTTAACCTATACCCAAAAAGTAGGAGTAATATGTATAGACTGTAGAGTTTGCCGACAAGGATTTATAATTGGGCAATAAGGAATAATTTAGAGTTGGCTGACAAGGATTAATTACGCATAAAGTTGGCTGACAAGGATTAAATATGTATTGAGTTAGTTGACAAGGATTTTTTATGTATTAATGTACAGTTGGCTGACAAGGATTAATTTAGAGTTGGCTGGCAGTGATTAATGTGGAGTTGGCTGACATGGATTATTTATATGTAGAGTTGCTGACAAGGATCAATGTAGAGTTGGCTGACAAGGATTAATTACTATTTTCTATTTAAATAATGCACCTGTAACCTTGATAATTAAAATATTCTACTTGGTTACCCCCCTAACCACCCCCCCCCCCTTCGCCACCTGCAGTCTTCAAGTGTCCTCATTAGTGGATAATTGATAGTCATTACTTCAGTATCACAAGTAGTCTCATCATTGAAGATAGACTATATAGACAGACACCTGGCCATAGACACATAGACACCTGGCCGTAGACGCATAGACATCTACATAGATTCCTAGACTCGGTTATAGCCTGGCTGAAAAAATAACAAAATGTCATTGGCAATCCAATCCAAACTAAGAGTAAGGTTTACAAATCAAAAATTAAACTAATTGTATTTTCTTTTGGTAAAATATTTTATTAAAGTCGTTCTATGCCATGCACAAATTGCTTTCTAATTCTAATATTTACTGCTCTTTTTCAATCTTTATAGTGGTTCTTTATTGTATGTTTAGAATATACAAAAGGCGACTAATGTATTATATTGTGTGTGTTGGAATGTACTGAAGGCAACTAATGTGTTAAATTGTATGTTTAGAATGTGCAGAAGGCAACTTATGTGCTTTATTGTGTGTGTTGGAATGTACTGAAGGCAACTAATGTGTTAAATTGTGTGTTTAAAATGTGCAGAAGGCAACTAATGTGCTATATTGTGTGTTTAAAATGTGCAGAAGGCAACTTATGTGCTATAGTGTGTGTTTAGAATGTACTAAAGGCAACTAATGTGTTAAAATGTGTGTTTATAATGTGCAAAAGGCAAGTTATGTGCTACATTGTTTGTTTAGAATATACAGAAGGCGACTAATGTATTATTTTGTGTGTTTAGAATGTGCAGAAGGCAACTAATGTAATATGTTGTGTGCTTAGAATGAGTAAAAGGAGACTAAATGTGTTATATTGTGTGCTTAGAATGTGTAAAAGGCGACTAAATGTGGTATATTGTTTGCTTAGAATGTACTGAAGGCAATTAATTTGTTATATTGCGTGTTTAGAATGTGCAGAAGGCAACTAATGTGTTATATTGTGTGTTTAGAATGTGCAGAAGGCAACTAATGTGTTATATTGTGTGCTTAGAATGTACTGAAGGCAATTAATTTGTTATATTGCGTGTTTAGAATGTGCATAAGGCAACTTATGTGCTTTATTGTGTGTTGAGAATGTGTAGAAGGCAACTAATGTGCTATATTATGTTTTTAGAATATACTGAAGGCAACTAATATGTTAACTTGTGTGTTTAAATGTGCGGAAGGCAACTAAAGTGTTCCATTGTATGCTTAGAATGTGCGGAAGGCAACTAAAGTGTTATATTGTGTGCTTAGAATGTGCAGAAGGCTACTAATGTGTAATATTGTGTGTTTAGAATGTGCAGAAGGCAACTAATGTGTTAAATTGTGTGTTTAGAATGTGTAGAAGGCAACTAATGTGCTATATTATATGCTTAGAATGTGCACAAAGCAACTTATGTGCTATATTGTGTGTTTAGAATATAAAGAAGGCAACTAATGTGCTATATTGTGTGCTTAGAATATGCAGAAGGCAACTTATGTGCTATATTATGTGTTTAGAATGTGTAAAAGGCAACTAATGTGCTAAATTGTGTGCTTAGAATATACAGAAAGCAACTAATGTGTAATATTGTGTGTTTAGAATGTGTAAAAGGCAACTAATGTGCTATATTGTGTGTTTAGAATGTGTAAAAGGCAACTAATGTGCTATATTGTGTGTTTAGAATATACAGAAAGCAACTAATGTGTAATATTGTGTGTTTAGAATGGGCAGAAGGCAACCAATGTGTTATATTTTATGTTGAGAATGTGCAGAAGGCAACTAATGCGCAATATTGAGTGTTTAGAATGTGGAGAAGGCAACTAATGTGTAATATTGTGTGTTTAGAATGTTCAGAAGGCAACTTATGTGTTATATTGTGTGTTTAGAATGTTCAGAAGGCAACTTATGTGTTATATTGTGTGTTTAGAATGTTCAGAAGGCGACCAACGTGTTTGCTCAGAAACACACTGTTTCTCGAGACAAGAGAGGAGCTGTGCTTGGTAATGAAGGAGCAGGGTTTAGGTAAAATTATTTTTCAATTCTCCGTGGTCATTTTGTTTCTTCAATATTCAGATTTTGTTCAGGTTCTAGATTTATGATTTTTGATAAGCATATAAAGCAACGCTGATACAGATTTGAACCTTTGCCACAAAATTAAATTTTCTAATCCTATATCTTTTCAGCCTGATGGTGTAAACATTTGATATTTAAAAACTTAAATCATTGGATCTATAACAGAATTCGATGTTTGAAATATCTGGGCTACAATATTGGTTTGCAAATTGATGAAGGGATTAGAAAATCAGGGTTTGTGGCAAAAACTCGATTTCTTTATCAAAAATGTTGGAAACAGGGTTACGGCCACAAAGAACTTTAAAGATTTTATGTCATATTACTTAACTTTATGAATAGTTCAACTTCAAAATGTAAGCTGTAAATTTCTGCCAAAATGTTGTACCATTTATTTGATTTAAGTTATACAGGGTTACCAAATAAGGATGAGACTTTGAAGAATATATATCTCTTCAGAAATAAAACCCTAAATAAAACCCTAAAGATTTGATTTTTGAGTCTCTCTCTGAAAAATATAGTTTTTATTGGGTTACAGGCGCGCAACTAGACATTCAGCTAATGGGGGTGGCAAAGGGCAATTATTTCGCGCGTAGCGCTAGAATTTTTTTTTCCCACCCCTAAACATTTCCAGGGGGGGGGGCAAGAAAAAGGTGTATTATACTCACCATGAAAAAACTACCTTACCAATCCAGGATATTTTTGTGGAACATTTTTATACTTGGGGGCATTCATTCAGTTTGGGGCAAATTTTGTGTGGAATAAATCTTAAACTATATTTCAGGGGCAATTTTATTTGTGGGGAAACATTTTTAAGTGGAAATCTCAAGTCTTTGTTTTTGGGGCAAATTTTATTTTGGGTGGCTTTTTTCCGCTTGGTGAATTTTGTGTATGGGAAATCTGAAATCTTTATTTTGGGATCAAATTTTCTATTTGAAATATATAACGGGGCATTTTTTTAAACTAAGGGTAGCGAAACTTCTCAATTTTTTAGCATTATCAAAATAAATTAAGTGGCATATTTTAGATAGGGCTGTATATTTTAAAGTTGGTTGTATTTATATATCATTTAGGGGTAAAAAATTAAATTTAGGTGCAAATTAAAATATTTGGTGGCATTCTAAAAAGCAAAGGTTACAAATGTTGAATGAAAGGGCAAATTTAAGTCTGATATAGCAAATTGAATAAGACTGTGTGAGTGTAATTTAAAAGATCCAATTTTGGAGGCATTATCTTATAACTTAACTGACGCTCTCTTCTTTATTCAGGAATTTTCATTAGAGAATGCCTTTATTTTCGTATTTTCGTTCAGAATTTTAGTAAATAAATAGAGAATATATTGTAGAGGGTGTACTGTCTGGTTTACTGGACTCTCAGGAGCAGGGAAGACGACAATTGCATTTGCACTTGAAGAATACCTGGTCGCACGTGGTATTCCTGCCTATGGATTAGATGGAGATAATATTAGGTGAAATCAAATTCAGTAATTTTTTTTTTCATATTTTTAAAATACATCTTATATTTTGCAAAATAAAGACTCGTCTCAGATTTTTTTACTTAAAATGTGTGTGTTGTACAGCCGGATGTGTACGTAAAACATTTCCTGTTCTAGGACGGGTTTGAACAAGAACCTAGGGTTTGCTCCTGAGGATAGAGAGGAGAATATCAGACGTGTTGCTGAAGTCGGAAAACTGTTCGCGGATTCCGGGGTTATTGCGCTCTGCTCCTTCGTCTCACCCTACAACAAGGACAGGGAGCTAGCCAGAGAGCTCCATAAGGTAGAGGGGGTACAGAGAGCTCCATAAGGTAGAATTGGTACAGGGAGCTACATAAGATAGAGGGGGGTACAGGGAGCTCTACAAGGCAGAGAAAGTACAGGGAGCTCCATAAGATAGAGGGGGTACAGGGAGCTCCATAAGGCAGAGAGGGTACAGGGAGCTCCATAGGGAGCTCCAAAGAATAGAAGGATTACAAGGAGCTCCAGGACGTATAAGGAGTATAGTGTCTTAAATAGATGAAGAGGGTACTGTAAGCTTCATAAAGTAAAGTAGGAATAAAGGATAAATGAATGTTGTAGTTATAGCGAAAAAAGGAGAAAATAAAATTGTAGAATAAAGAATTATGAATAGGATGTTGGTCTTCCATTCTTCGAGGTTTTCGTTGATACTCCCCTGGAGGAGTGTGAGAGAAGGGACGTGAAGGGGCTTTACAAGAAAGCCAGGGCCGGGATCATCAAGGTATTCATTCTTCAAATTTTGGGCAATTTCAAATTTACTTGTGATAATAAGAATTTTATGATTTAAAAATTGATTTTCATATTATTAATCAAAAGTAAATTTTTTTAACTTAAAAAATTATATCTATTCTTTTCAGGGATTTACTGGAATTGATCAACCCTACGAAAAACCAACAAATCCTGAGGTAAATATAATCCTTAAAATTACTGAACACTCTTTTTTATGCATTTTATAAAGCCTATCATATTCCCTTTTTCTTAAAATAAAAACTTGAGTCGAAATGTCGGCTCTACACGTCATACCTTTAATATCCTTTTTGTCTTGTGTTAAAATTACAGGGTTACAACAATGGATCAGGCTGTAAAGACGACCTAAAACTTTTTTGTTTAAGTAATGTGTTGTTGCAAAGAAAGAAAGAAATTTAAGGTTGCAGGGAATTGTTAATATAAGGAAACACACATTATGTATTCCCTTGCAGTCGTCTCTGAAGTTTGTTTTGTGGGTAACCCTGTGTATGAGATAAAACCCCTTGTCCAAAGGAATTGAGTCTTTGCCACAAACTTTGATTTTCTAATTCCTATATCCTTACAACCCAACGTTTTAGATATAAGGATTAGAAAATTTGAGTTTGTGCCAAAGACTCAATTCCTTTATGAACAGATTCTTATCAATTGTTTTGTCAGGTTGTGATCAAGACTGTTGTTGATGATGTGGATGTTTGCGTACAGCAGATAGTTACAGTTCTCATGGAAAACGTAAACAAATTCTGTAATTACAAAAAAAAAAATTTCACATTCAAGGAGTTTTCATAATTTGAAATTGTATCCTCTATAAGTTTTGATAAATTGTTTAGGTTTAAAACTGTTTCCAGTAAATATTGAAACAATGTAAAAAAAACTTGAAGAGAACACAACTTTGAAAATGAAATTAAAAAATCAAAAGAATCAGGAGCATACTCAGGAATTTGTCTAATAAGTGATACAGGAAATGATCTGACTGTATCCACTGTTGATACATTATTGATCTAACTGTATCCATCCTTGATACCGGAAATGATCTGACTGTATCCAGTGTTGATACATTATTGATCTAACTGTATCCAGTGTTGATGCATGATTGATCTAAAGATATCCAATTTTGATACATTATTAGTCTAACTATATCCACTTTTGATACATGATTGATCTAACTGTATCCTCTTTTGATACAGATTGATGATTGATCTGACTGTATCCACTTTTGATACACGATTGATCCAACTGTTTCCCCTTGTGATACATGATTGATCTAACTGTACCCACATTTGATACATGATTGATCTAACTTTACCCACTTTTTATACATGATTGATCTAACTGTATCCACATTTGATACAGATTGATTAAACTGATACATGATTGATCTGACTGTATCCACTTTTGATACATGATTGATCTAACTGTATCCACATTTGATTCATGATTGATCTAACTGTACCCACTTTTTATACATGATTGATCTAACTGTATCAACTTTTGATACATGATTGATTTAACTGTATCTATTGTCAAGGGTATACTGAACCAAGATGCTGTTGATATTGTCAATGATTTGACCGTATCACCTGAACTTCTTGAAGAAGCAAAGAAGGAAGCTGAATCTCTCCCACAGCTGGAGATCTCTACGTTAGACCTTCAGTGGGTTCAGGTAAACATTTTCATGGGTTCTTCCTTTATCCTTTTCCTTTAACTTCAAATGAATCAGTTCGAGATACATATTTCATTTGTATACAAGTAGTGTAGGGTTGTCAACTTGTCAAAATCATAATTGACTCTAATACATTTTGATTGATGAACAGAATTTTCAGTTTACAGTCAGAATTGATTTAGATTAGGCGTATTTTTTGAAGAAGATGTGCCCTCTCCTAAACGTTAAAGTGTGCAACTTAAAAAAATATAATAAAATAATTAATTCCAAACTTTCAGATGGCCGTAGCGCTCCGCCCAGTTTAACTGAAATTTTGGCTATTACTGATAACTATAAATAATTTCTCCTCTATCTGGGTTTGAAACTATATATACTTGTCCATGTTCTAGGATCTATTATCTAGGTTCTAGGAGAGGGCTGGGTTACTCCACTCTCCGGGTTCAATACTAGATACTATTATCTAGGTTCTAGGAGAGGGTTGGGCTACTCCTCTCTCTGGGTTTATGAAGGAAAGGGAATTCCTTCAATGCCAGCATTTCAACTGCTTACTGGATCATGGAACCACTAACCTTTCTATACCTATAGTACTCCCAGTGCAGACACAGGTATATCGTATAGATACAAGAAATAGTTTTAATATTTTTCCTTTTTATGAATTTTATGAAGGCATTCTTGCTGTTAAGACGTTTTGTAAAAAAGGCAAAAATTCGGTTTTGATCTGTGTTCAGTAAATTAAAATTTTACAAAGAAAGGACAGTGCATTTTCGAACGATACCGTTTCTCTAGTAACATTAATTTATTTATATCTTCCTGGAAGAGCCTGTATACATTACACATTTCAAGTCACTTTCCATTTCAATGATACAGATCTATTTATTAGGATAAAGAAAGGCTACAGGGTTGTCCAGCTATATCCCTGAGCTACCAGGGAGTGTGCAGAGCTATTCTTAGGAACCCGGAGTTCTATGAACATAGGAAGGAGGAGAGATGTGCCAGGCAGTTCGGTACAACCAGTTCAGGACATCCATATATCAAGGTAATACCATGATTCAGGACATTCATACATTAAATATTTGATTTAAGTAATATTACAAATAAATTTGGTCATTAAATATTAATAAACAAGTAAATGCCCCTTTTTCCTAGCATTATGATGTGAAAAACAACGAATTTTGCCCAATTTAAAAAAAAATTCCCGGGAAATTAGATTTAAATGAAATGATTGCATTTATTTCAAATAGATGAACATTCCCTTTAATAAAGTATATTTGTTTAATATGTATATAAAATTTATAAATATAGATGATAATGGATGGTGGGGACTGGTTGGCGGGGGGAGATATTGAGGTTCTTGGTAAAATACAATGGAACGATGGGCTGGATCAGTATAGGTAATCATTCAACATTTTTCTGCCTTAAAGGAATTGAGTCTTAGCCACAAACTTTTATTTTTAAATTCCTATATCTTTACAACCCAATGTCGCAGAACTTAGATATTTCAACTATGACTTCTGTTATGTCAAACAATCTTAATGTCTAAATCATCTGGATTAGAAAATTGGTATTTGTGGCTAAGACTCAATCACTTGATTCACTTTCAATTCAAACAAAAATTTAAATATAGCACAATATTCAAATATAGTTTATTCAAGTGTAATTAAGCTACAAACTAGACTATAGGAGAAGGCAACAATTTTCAGACTGGTACGAATTTGTAACCATGTACTTCATCTAGTTTTTATTCTACGCGAAAGTATGAGAAAGGCGAATTTATCCAATTACGTATTAGAAATAAAAAATATTATTCTTCATTAAAAGCAGTTATGATTTAAAACAATTTTATCTTCTGTACATTTTAATTTAGTTTATGTACCGTGTATTGTATCCAAATGTAAATCCTGTAAATAAATGTTAGAATAAAAACAAAATGCAATTCTTTTTTTTAATTGTATCTGTTAGGTTGACCCCAACCCAGCTGCGCAACAAGTTCCGTGAGATGGGCGCAGATGCCGTGTTCGCTTTCCAGCTCCGAAATCCTATTCATAACGGGCACGCGCTCCTCATGACAGATTGTAAGAGACAGCTGACAGGAACCAAGCTTTCAATCAATTAATCAAGTGTATTTACGTCTTTTAAAAATGCTTATTTCCTATGCAAAATGGTGGATTCCCTTTTAAATTTAATTTAAAAATGAAAAAAAATCCCCTAAAAATGCAACGAATTTAACTTTTAAAAATTACTATTCCTAGTAAAACTGTAAAAATGTTTATTTTCTATTAGAAATCTAATTGACGGCCGGGGAATACGCAATTCCCCAAAATTATTCAATGGGTAAAATATGGATTTAAGAAAATTGTTCGAATGAAGCTGTGGTTTAGAGAGAGGATTCAAAAAACCGGTTTTACTTCTTCATCCGCTTGGAGGTTGGACTAAAGATGATGATGTGCCTCTAGATGTAAGATTATTATTATTAATATTTATCATTATATTATTATTACTACTATTATTATTCTCAGATAAGAATGGCTCAGCACCAAGCTATTATGGAGGATGGAGTACTGGATAAAGATTCTACAGTTCTAGCAATATTCCCTTCACCTATGATGTATGCAGGTTAGTTAAAAAGTCCTTAAAATCATGACTGAGGCTAAATACTTCGTGTTCCACAGAAAATTTTGGTTGTCCAGCTTTCAGGCTGAATCCGTAAAAAGGTCGGAATCGATATCGATAGCTCCTAATTGTATTTGCTATCTTTTGCGTATATGGAGAAAATGATTGGAAAACCCTTCATACCCAATAGCGTAGAGTTCTTTAATCAAAATCTATTGTACATCAAATTCCTGTCAATGTACTTCCTTGGATTTTTAGGATAAACTCGATCCATGTTCTAATATTCTAAGGATGACAGTTCACTTTAAAGTTCTTATATTATTATTAAAATAAAAGTGCCCGGCGTTGCCCGTGAAATCTTTTTTTATTGAATTTAAAACAAAAAAGAAAAATAGTTCGATTTTTGAAAAAAATCTAATTTTTGATGAAAAAAATTCTAATTTTTTAAAGTTTCTTTGTGGCTTTAAATATATTTCTGTACAAAACCAGCAGATAAATAATTATAAAGTCTAGGAAAGTAATTAGTAAAAAAATACCCAAACACCACCTCTCTTACGTAGTTGCGTTATTCCACTGAAACTCCTCAAACCAAATCGTAAATAATTTTGTCAAATCTGAAACTGATCCTTTAAATATTACAATACCGGATTTAATTCGGGTCATTCAAAGGTATTTAGTAAATAATTTTTCATAATATTTAAAATTTTTATTTGATGCCAGTGTAATTTTTGAAAATATTCATTCCTAGAATTTTAAATATCAAAGACGACATTTTTATATCTTCCAAGAAATGTTCAAAAATATTTGAAAAAAATTCTAACTCATTATGATAATTATCATAAGTTATGGAAAATTATTATATTTGCATTTATCATGTATCTACATGTACATGTCTACAATCTACATGTACATCTCTACATCTACATCATAGATTAATGAAACGAAGAGGTAAAGCTAACCTCAGATGTACACAACCGACCTCCCTATTAATTAATCTATAGAGTGGTCGGTTGTATACATCAAGATATGTTTACGTACATTGTGCACTTGTATATAGAGTTGTCGTATTTCTTTGGGGTGGTAAAATGTAGTTTTTTTCAAAATACCAAAACAGAGTAAAAGGCGTGCAACTAGGGGTGGCAATGGGGGGGGGGGAAAGCACCCCCCCCCCTCTTAAGAAGAGTTAAATAAAAGACAGAATAAAAATATTTTAAATAAGAAAGTTTTTGACAGAACTTTTAGCTAATAAATTGAAAACCTACAAATTTGGAAATTGTCAAATGTTTGCAATCAACATCCTCGAATTCCCTTTAAATAAAGAAAGAAAATATAAAAATTTGTCAATTTCATAAAACCCGCCTAAGAAATACGATCACTCTATATACAAGTGTACACTGTATACAGTGTTAGATACGTAAACATATTAATTAATTAGTAGGGAGGTCGGTTGTGTACATCTGAGGTTAGCTTTACCTCTCCGTTTAATTACTCTATGATCTATATGTACAGGGTCAACTGTATTTAGATATTCATCACAAAAAAGCTAACAAAAAAACTTGTTCTAGGTCCTACCGAGGTACAATGGCATGCCAAGTCTCGAATGAATGCCGGCGCAAACTTCTATATTGTTGGACGGGATCCTGCCGGTATGCCGCATCCGGAACCGCCGAAGCGGGATCTATATGAAGCAACACATGGCGGGAAAGTAAGTCAAAAATTTAAATATGAAAAAAGGCAAAAATTGGAAAATTATGTTTTTTTGTTTAATGCAGATTTAGAAGAAACAATAAAGTTTTCGATTAAATCCCTTAAGTAAGGAGTTGCACTACTAATTCCTAAATACTAGAAAAAACTTTAGAAAAGAGGACATTTGTCTAATTAAACTAATTTTTGTTAAATTTTGGAATATTCATTTTTTGATTCCCAAAATACATTGATCAATGTACATTAACTTATTTTTCTCTGAAACCAATTAATCTTTAAGATTCATAATATTCAGATTTTGTTCAGAATTAAAAAAAACAGTTGGCCTAAAATGAATATTTTATAGGTCATCTGATCTAGATTCTAGAAATGTTTTGATCTAGGTTCTAGGAATTCTTTAATCTAGGTTCTAGGAATGTTTTGATCTAGGTTCTAATTATTAATGCTTTAGACTTTAATCTAGGTTCTAGGAATGTTTTAATCTATTATCTAGAAATATTTTATTCTAGGTTCTAGGAATGGCTCCAGGATTATCAAAGCTTGAAATTATTCCCTTCAGAGTTGCTGCTTATGATATGAAGGTAAAGTTTAATACTAATTTTGCTAATTGAGTTGAGATTTTGCCACAAATTCTGATTTTCTAATCCCTATATCTTAGCAACCAGATGTCGTAGACCTTTGACATTTCAAAATATAAATTCTGTTAGAGCAAACAGCGTTAGTTTGAAATATCAAAGGTTTACACCATATACTGGTAAATATAAAGGGGTTAAAAAATTTGAGCTTTGGCAAAAACTTAATTCCTTTCTAGTTAACTTTGAATGCAATGGAATCGTATTTAAACACTGATCAAAATATAAAAGTTTACTCTCTTAATATCTTTAAAAATTATATTTTCAATCTTTCATTTTCATCGAGACATTAAAGATATAACATTTGTCTATAGCATTGGGACCAATAAAAGATGATGATTAAGGAGACTGTAACCTTAATTTAAAGTGAACATTCATGCAAAAATGACAAATCCCGATTAAAAATGATACTTAGTCAGTTTTCTATAAGAGAAACCACAATTGAAATTCGGTTTACAAAATTATAACATTGATATCTAATTTATACTTAACAACAAAGCTTTAAAGGAAATCATGCAGTTGTGAATCGGGCATTGCCATTTTTGCGTGGAGGGTCACTTCAAATTACGGTTACGCTCTCTTTAGTTTATAATTGTATTTATTAATTGCAGGCTAAAGCGATGTCATTCTTTGATCCCCGTCGGAAGGAAGATTTTGATTTTATCTCTGGAACCCGTATGCGAGCCCTCGCTAGGTCTGGAGAACTTCCTCCAGATGGATTCATGGCTCCCTCGGTACTTTTCAGTAATTTTTGGGGGTTGAAAAGGAACTCTGATAATCTTATCCCTTTATCTTTGAAACCCGAAGTCGTAGACCTTATATATTTAAAACAATGTAATCTTTATCTGTTAAATTAAATAGTCTTAAATTTTAATTATGGTGTAAACCATCAGGTTGCAAAGATTTAGGATTAACAAATTTGAGGCTGTGGCGAAAACTCAATTACTTTCTGAAATTCAGTTTGATTTTAAGGTTGCGAGTGCGACTACGGAGAAGATTGTTAAATATAAATAAATAAATATAGAAAGAGTAATGTGAATAAACTGACTTTGTTTTTTTATAAATCCAACAAACTGCAAGACACTTTTTGCCAACAAATATATTGGGGTTTGCATTTTTTAACGAGATATTTAGAAAATTACACACTGTAATTAAAGTCTTATCCTTTATGGGTAAGACTGAGATTGGTATTGGTAACTTCAGACATAATCGTTCGTACTTTTCTTGCAACAAGATGTCTGCAATGTCAAATTATAAGGAAACTAAAAAAACAAGATGTCTGCAATGTCAAATTATAAGGAAACTAAAAAAACATTTAAAGTTGTTTCATTCACCTCCGAACATTTCCCCCGCGTACATTTTTCAACAATTTAAAGTTTTTAGAATTGTTTTTTTTTAATTCACATTACAACTACATCAAACATTATTTTATTTTAATGCAGTTGCTGCAACTTGCAAGTAGAGGAGATTAAATAATAATTCTTAATTATAATTATTATTTTCTAGGCCTGGAAGATACTGTCTGATTACTACAAATCCTTGGGACAGCAGTAGTGCAGTACAGTACATAATAAATAATAAATAATGTACATTCAAATTATATTTGAAATGAATTTAACGAATTTATTGAATATGAGTTAGGTCACTAAACTACCTACCATCGGTTCAAAGTTATGAATCACCGATTCAAAGTTTAAGATTCATGAGGATTTGAATCAGTGATTCAGGATTTTAGCCGGCTGAAGATAGTTCAGCGACCTTTCCAACATTAAATTCAGTCCCAGAAGTGCCTTATAGAACTTGCATCACGTTATGTTTGCTTTTTACTGTACAGATAAATTTTTCTACATTTCCACAAAACCTTTTTTAAAATAAAGCATTTTATTCTATATTATAAACAATATGATAGCAATTCGGCAAAAATGTCTATTTTTCTACCCTTTTATACATTAGTTTTTATCTTTCACATTTTGCATTTCTTTATAAATTTTTGTACACAATGACACTTTTATGTTTCAAACATTTTAGAAAAATTTGCATTTCATGAAGATATAATTATTATATATGTATGAATAAAATCTATTTAGATACAATTTTGTTTGATTTAAAAATCTAGCGAGTTAACAAGACGAAAGAAAAAAGTTAATAAAATTTTTAAAAATCATAAAAAAGTGAGTAAATTTATTTGTAAAAGAATAATTGATTATAAAGTAATTAAGTGAATGAAAAGGGTAAATAAATAGGATAAAAAGAGTAAATAATATGTTTATGAGTGAGTAAACTAATTAGTAAGTAATTTTCAATTCAGAGTAACATCCTAAGATATATATTTATCTATTAACAAAACAAGGCGTCCAAAAATATTGTAATCAACAGCTTAAAAATGTATACTTACAGTTTGATCAAGATACAGGGTCACCTTCAAAGGAAAAGGCTCTATTGATGACCTTCTGGGATTTATATAGTACTAGCTGGAGAGCCCGGCGTTGCCCGTGGAATTTTTTTTTTAAAAAGAAGTAAAAATATTTTGAATTTCTTTAGCCTTTAACACCCCCGGTCACCCATGAGTGTCCACAAAAAAATTCAGCCCATTCGGTCCAGCCGTTTGGTCGGATATAAGCAATATATATATGAATGTCTTGTTTTATTATAAAGATTACTAGCCCGGCGTTGCCTGTGGTAAAAAAATTTTAGACAAGAATTTTTCCATTTTTAAGCCTAAGACACCCCCCGGGAACCCTTGAGTGTCCAAAAAAAATTCAGCCCAATCGGTCCAGTCGTTTGGCCGGTGACATATATAAACTTGAATGTCTTGTTTTATTATATAAATTTCTTACTGCGGATTTAAAGAAAGATACGGAATTTAACATGTTTAAAGATAGAAAAACAATGATATCTTTTAATCATTGTTTTTAGATTAAGGTTTAAAGGGTACAGTTGTTAATCGGACACGTCCCTTTTAAAATTACTTCTACACTCTACAGCCCTTATAAACGATTGTTGAATGTCAAGCCGAATGAAACATCTCAATCGTTATACTAACAGAGTTTAGCAGAGTTTTAGGTTAACGTTCAAATTTGATCTCTTTTAGGCAACCCTTGAATTCTGATAAACTAGAGCTGTTTTATTTGGAATTGAGCTAGAAATTTTGAAACGCCTTGTTTTGCGCATATATAAATAATTCCAATCAAGTCCATTAGTCCAATCATAGATTGAATAGATAGAACAAGAAAAGCATGGTTTTCATGGTTAAAAGGTTAAAAGGTAGACAGGAATGAACAGTAAAAAAATCTGCCTCTATTTCTATTACATGTACAAAGGCAAATATGTAATCAGTGTCCAATATACAAATAAATATATGGAGAATAATCTAATATTTACAATCTGTGAAATCTGTGTCTGATATATAAATAAATGAACAATAATCTAATATTTATAATCTATGTACTCTGCGTCTTATATACAAATATAATAAAGAATAATTTAATATTGACTATCTGTATAATCTGTGTCTAAGATAAGTAGGAAAATATAAAGAATAGTTTAGACTCTTAAATATTTGTATAATCTGTGTCTAAGATTTGAAAATATGAAGAATAATCTTATATTTATTATCTATGTAGGGGTAATCTATGCATTCAATACCGAGACGACTGTACGGAATTGTGACTGTCTAATTCTTTAAATTCATGATTCCCTGCAACTGTAAACTTGTTTCGTTCTTTGTAATTCATTAAATAAGCCATTGAAATACATATTTAAGACGGAAGAATTAATTCAACCTTTAAATCGTCATATTCTAAGGGTTTCTGGTCGTCTTTACAGTCTTAACATTTTTGGGTATATGCAAATATGTTAAGAATAATCTAATATTAATACTAATATATCTGTGTAATCTATATGTCTAATATATGAATATATACAATAATCTAATATTTACTATCTGTGTTTAATCTATATGTTTGATATATGAATATATACAATAATCTAATATTTACTATCTGTGTTTAATCTATATGTCTGATATATGAATATATACAATAATCTAATATTTACTATCTGTGTAATCTATATGTCTAATATATGAATATATACAATAATCTAATATTTACTATCTGTGTAATCTATATGTCTAATAAATGAATATATACAATAATCTAATATTTACTATCTGTGTAATCTATATGTCTAATATATGAGTATATACAATAATCTAATATATCCCGGGGAAAGTAAAAGAAAGCAATCACGCAGTCTGGTTGAGAGTAGAGGAGTCAGCTGAGAGAGTTTTTATTCAAAACTCCACAGTCAGGTATATTACTCCGGGAGGAACGGAGTACATAAGACAAAAATTAGTTCTATTGGAGTACTTGGGAAAAATGGATTACTTTTTGAGAGGTTCAGAACTATTAAAAAGTATTGCAGAACTTTAAATTACTTTTGGAGAGATGGACCACATTCCAGTCTCTACATAGGGACGCTGTTCATTTCATACGGTATTATCAGTGCAACTTTGCGACCTCGTGACTTCTATAGATTTTGTTTTGCACCCAACAGTCAGTGCTTTTGAGGGGGAGGGGGGGGGGGGGATAGAATTCCTCTGGGGTACTTTAAGGGGAAAGGCTTACTTTAAATGTACTTTTTAAGCTCAGCATTTTTGGAACAACTTAGAGAGCATATTTGTAGAGGTGTGTTGTACTTCATGAGTATATTCTTCTTAAGGATAGTTTGCAATTTCGAGGTAGCTTTGTACTTTGGGAGTACTCAAACAGTGGTGTTGTGCTTTGGGAGTACTATTTGGGTAACTTCGTACTTTAGGAGTACTAAAAGGGTAGCAACTATATACTTCTTAAGGATAGTTTTCACTTTAAGGGTATCTTTGTACTTTGGGAGTACTTAAAGAGTGGTGTTGTGCTTTGGGAGTACTATTTGGGTAACGTCGTTTTTTAGAAGTACTAAAAGGGTAGCAACTATATACTTATTAAGGATAGTTTTCACTTTAAGGGTATCTTTGTACTTTGGGAGTACTTAAAGAGTGGTGTTGTGCTTTGTGAGTACTATTTGGGTAACGTCGTTCTTTAGGAGTACTAAAAGGGTAGCAACTATATACTTCTTAAGGATAGTTTTCACTTTAAGGGTATCTTTGTACTTTGGGAGTACTTAAAGGTTAGTGTTTTCCTTTGGGATTACTTCTAGAGAAGTTTTTAAATTTGGGATTAGTACAAGATTAGTGTTTTACTTTGGGAGTATTCAAAGAGTATTTTTGTACTTTGGTTAGTTCCACCTTGATACTGTTATAATTTTTGAGCATACACTGAATTTTAATTTTTATGTTATAAAAGATTAAGTAAACATGTCATATGTAATTTTTGTTTATTTGAAGAAACAAGGTGATTGAAATGCGTCTAGTGTTACGAAAATTAAGCATAATTTTAAATCAACAAGATGGTCAAGTTCAGAAATTAACTTTTTTATAGAAACATCGAAATTCAGTTAAATTTAACTATTTATAACACTATTATTTTGGTTCGCAGTGTTATAAAGTTTTTGGACAGAAATTTTCTCTTTATCGAGAAGGTTCAAGCCTTTTTAGATTTAATTTTGTCCCAAGCTTTAGCGAGAGACAAAATATAATCTAAAAAGGCGAGAAAATATAGAGAAAATTTAAGTCCAAAAACTTTATAGCACGTCGTGCCAGACTTAGAGTGTTATAGGTAATTTTATGAAACGTTTGTGTACTTGTGTACTTTCAATAGCTATTTCTAGATTTAAAAAGCTTTGAAACAAAGCATAAGTCAAAATATAAAGTTATTTTCAATTTTATTTCATTTCAATTGAAAAAATGTTTTGAAGTATTCCAATTTTTTTGGAGAAAATCCGGGAACCAAATAAAACTTAATAGTACACGTGCTTGCCTATAATGTACAGCTAACTTAACTATATAACACGATGATTACTTTATAGCACGTTCATTATGAAATTTACGATGAGTGAGTAAGAATGATGAAGGACATAATAGTTTAATAAAATATTTTTTTTGTTAGTTTACACTGTTTAAATTTGAAAACCAAACTACTTATTTCCTATTGGGTAGAAGCTGTGTCTGGTTATTTGGCAGATGAGGGTTTTCTGAAAATGTAAGTAAAAAAATCAATATCGGTTATCGAAGTATAAATAAAAGGTTAAACAAAGATCATACAAACAAGGTTAAAAAAGAGAATACGCAATTAACAGTAACTATATCTATCACAAAATGTAAGGCCATATATAATTCTTGATTTAGTAAGTTCACTTTGGGTTTGAAATGTATGGAGTCCCTAAAACTCTGATTTGATTTGGTTTGGACTAACTTTTCACAATTTGAGCACCATGCATGAAAGCCTTAGCATTGAAAGGGTTTCTTTTTATTGAAATACTAGCTTGGGAACCCAGTTTTACCTGGAAACTAAACTTTTGCTATAACTCAACTTTAGTTATTAAAACCAAGCTCAGAACTCATGGTTCTACTGAGTTCCTCAAACAAAATTTGAGGCAAATCGGTCGAGGGGTTAATTAGTTATGATCGGACATACAAACAAACAGAGATTACTATTTTTTATATATACTAAATACTAAATTTTCGCTATTAAAGTCGACCCACTCAACTTTGAATCTCAAAACCAAGCTAAGAGCATTTCCATGGCTCTCCCGAATTCCTTCTTCTAAATTTGAGGCGATTTTTCAAATGTATTGATAACAGGATTTTAACTGGAGTGCGTTCATTAAAGTCATTAAAGTCATGAGCTGTAAATCTTACATCAACAAACCAATATTTATATTTATATTTCTTACTTGTTTATTTGTCGGCGGGAGAGGGCCCAGTAAACATCAAAACGGCTAAAACGATCGTCCAAAATTTTGTCTATGATCTTTCACAATTTTATAGGTCACTCAGGATTCAAAAATGTTTAAAATATTTTAGGTTTTTAAAAAAGGAACTAAAATGACAATAAAAGTTGAAATAAAGTTTATCTTAATATATGTTTGTCTTAAATGTTGGTTTTTCTGTCTGTTTCAGTGTTTGTATACAATAAACATGAAAACAGCTAACAATTCGGCCCAAACTATTTGATAATTCACATGACTCCAGGGAAGGTTTATGACCGGCCAGAATAAAATAATTTTGATTAATAATTTTTTAAAAATCTAAAATTAAAACAGATAAATCTTTAGATGTTTTAATAAAATGGAAAAAATAGTTGCTGTTAAAATATAGTTAAAAAGCGAACATCATCACTAGAAAAAGGAATATTATGTTATAAAGGTTTATTCACACACAAAGATATAAATACATATATAAATGGTGTAGTTTAAATTTGTTTGATGGAGTGCATTGTAAGCTCAGTATAGAAAATAAGCGAAATAATCATGCAGAAACATTTTTCAGAGAGTCTACACTTTAAACCAGATAGCAGGAGAAGGTAAAATGTATGCGACAGTAGTGTGACGATTTTGTGGCCTCCTAGCTCCTCTAGTTCTGATTTTTACAAGTATCAGAAATTCAAAACATTTTTGTTCTTCTCAATAGTTTTTTAATCAGAGAAGCTATCATTGGAAACTATAGATTTTAATCTTCCGTGGAATTTGTTTTAGTTTAGCGTGTCTTTCTTGTAAAGTCAGGCAGCGTGCTTTGCATTAATTTTGCATAATTTATAAACTTTAAAATTACACAATGCAGAGTATATAATATAGAGGAAGACATGCTTGATTAGCATATAAATTTATAGGTTAGGATAGGTTGCAAAGGGGAGGAATGGGGAGGGGGGGGGGGGGTGAATATTAATCAGAAAGGGTTAAAAAGGGCCAGGAGAGCCATTAAAGTATGAATGCAATTTATCTTTTATAATAAAAGAAAAAAGTAATAACTTTAAGGCAAAAAATATTTTTTCGTGATAAAAAATTATTTGAAATTTACTTAAACTTGTAAAGTTCCTGTATACATAATCGAAAAATAATGAGAATGATAACAATGCACTTATCTTGTCTGTGATTTATTATCACCTTGTTTAATTTGTTTTATTATGTATCAGTTAGTGTAAAGCAAGTAAAGTACAATAACAAAGACACTGAAAATCTTATATATATATATATAAATACATCATACAGTGTGTGAACAATACCACTTTAGAATCAAAGTGAGAACACGTGCAATGATCTAAAGGTAGCAAGCAAAAAATCAAAAAAAATTGCTATGGCAATACAATTACAAACAATTGCATTAGAGTTCTGAAATGTATAATGTATTATAATGTATTATACCCCCTAATATACCTATTGCACTAGTAAAAGCGAGTTAGGGGGGTGGGGTTAAATTAAAGGCCGAGGCTTTACGACACTTTAAAGATTAAAGATTTTTTTGTAAATGCTTTTACTTCTTATTGAATACCTTCTTCCAAAAAATACATTTTTTGACTCAAATTTATTCAAAGATTTATAAAAGTAATAACTAAAACAAATGAGGGTTTAAATGTATTTATTTTTGTGCTATTTATGCTTTCAATGAGTTCGATATTAATATTACGAACAAAATGTTAAACTTTAAAAACCACAGCAAAAACAGAGCTAAAAACTTGAAAGTCATCAAATTAGCAAATAAAACCTTATAAATATGCATCAACATTTTTAACATATTTAATCTTAACTTTTTTGACCCTCATTCGCAGGCTTAATAAAATTACAAAGGTTTACTTTCTGTGAAGCTTATTTGTCTTGAATGCTTGATCTCGATATCCATTTGAGAATAAATGCTTGATCTCGCAATAAAAGTTATATCTTGCAGGGGATGACCACGGCGCGGAATATCGAAGAGAATTAAATTATCTCGCAAAATTCACAAAAGTTCTTGTGGTTGCACTTTTTTAAACAAACAACAAATATAAAATCTGCATAAAGTTACGTTCTGTTAAGATGTTACTTTATTTCAGACATCCTGATGTTAAAATAAATTGCTCATAAATGCAAACCAAACAAACTATCCTGCCGATAGAATGAATTTATGATAAAACTGAGCAGTACGTTGCAGTGAACACTGTACTCTATAATCAACCAATAGAGAAACAGCTGATTTAAAAACAAGATGGCAGATCCTCAATTCGGCGTGGCGGATTATATTGTCCTCGCGGCAATTATGATAGTCTCCTCTCTAATAGGTAAGGACAATCTGAAAGAACAAAAATACTTCAAAACTTTCTGAGTAGTAAACGAAAATTGCAAATAGGGTTTCCAGCGAAAAAGGGAAATCGTTTTCGCAAAAACTTCTCTAAAAAACAAATGCGATATTTCGCGAAATAAAAAAACACAAAAATTTTGAGAAAAAAATGAGAAATTTTGCGAATTACGAAAGAAAATGTTCGTATTTTTTCGCGAAAGTTTTTGTTTGGTGGAAACTGTAATTGTTGTAAGCCTGAAGTTGTTAGTTTAAAACGTTGAGATGTTGATAAACAAAATTAGTTAGGTTTTTAGTTCAATATATTGCATCTTTTAATGTTACAATTTTTCATTTGACTGTGGTATTAAATTGGATCATTTTCTCTAGGACTGATGAGGATATGAAAATATATCGAAACTTTTTTTAAAATCTAAGTTTTTTTTTCGAGAGTGAAACTTGCCAATAAAGATTAATTAAAGTTATGTTAGCATCATCATCCCTGAATATTAAATGGTTCAAATGGAATGAATAATTTCTAAAATAAATCTTATATCCGATTTAATTTTGGCTTTAGGGGGTAAAATTTAGTTAAAAACAAAAAGAAAAAAAGAAAAGAAAAAATATTTCAGGATTATTTTACCGATTTACTGGAGGTCAACAGAAGACTAGTTCTGAGTATTTATTGGCTGACGGGAATATGTCAGTTCTACCTGTTGCATTCTCACTCATGGCAAGCTTTATGTCAGCTATTACACTGCTAGGGGTTACTCAGGTAGAAATTTAGAACTTCACCGAAACACTACAAAATGTGCAACCATCACTTTTTGACGATCTGGCGTGAAATTAAATTATAAAAATTTTTTCACCGCAATTTCTCCATGATTTAAATGTTTTATCTCCCCAAATCCCCAAAATAGCTATTTCACAAAATTTATATCTTAACTGCAGATTTTGTAGTCAACAAAGTGCAGCAAAACAACATAAAATTTTGAGTTAAAATTTGTTGTACTAGTTTCACTTTAGCAAGATGTTTTTTTAATCTAAATATTTATATCTCCGAGTCTAATAAATATTTACAGTTTTTTTTAACATACTATTATAAGATTATAACATTTTTAAATAAATTACATTTAAGATTGTACTAACATAGTTAAAACAAACTTTGTATTTACGGATTAAGTTTTTTAGTTTTTTTGACATTAAATTACTATTTCTGTGTTTCAGACTAATTAAATAAATAGATACACAGTGACATTAACATGTTTGTTGACGTAGAAAGGCGTTTACATATCTCATATTTAAATCCGGTATTTTTTATAAATGGTAATTTTTTCAGATTTTAACAATTTCTATTTCTGAAAGTCAGGTGTTAAACAATATCAAATTGAGTTACATTTTATTATAGTTTAAATTTTTAACGAAATCATCTTATTATATTTTAGGTTCTGATGTAAAAAGAAATCAATAGATCGGAAGTTTTATCGATTGGTTTTAGAATCAAAATAAGTTAGCAAGATAAATACTCTAAACACAAAGAAACTGAGTTTTTGCCGCAAACTATGGCTTTCTAATAACTATATCTATCTGCATCCCGATGGTGTATACTGTTAAAACTCTGTTAGGTCAATTAAAATAAGTCTGATTTATCACATGTTTTCACCGTCAATTCCTTTACAATTCAGCTGACTTTTAAATGTACTTAATTTAGGAGAACTACAGTTATGGAACCCAGTTTGTGTGTATTAATCTGGCTTATGTACTCAGTACACCTGTAGCAGCGTACATTTTTCTACCTGTATTTTATAACCTCAAATCCCCCAGTGTATACAAGTAAGTAAATATTGTTAAAGGGACTGGACACTCAAAAAGAAAAATTCATTATTTAGTAATTTTTAGATACCTAGAAGATAGATTTGGAAAAATTGCTCGGATAACGGCGTCTCTTGCCTTCTCTGTACAAATGTTCTTGTACATGGGAATTGTACTGTACGCACCTTCACTAGCCCTCTCTGCTGTTACTGGGCTTAGGTAAATCTTAATTGACCAAAGGTTGGAACTTTTGTTTGAATATCGTTAATCTTGAAGGCTTGAGCTCAATATCCAATTTGGACACTTTTAAATTTAAAGATTTAAAGATGCTTGATCTATATCAATTAAAGTTATACCTGCAGAATATGACCACCACAGAATATCAAAGCGGAGCTAATTCATCCGTAATTCTACATAGTAAATGTAGTGATAACCAGAAAATTCTGAAATAGGAAGACGACTTTTAGACTCTAAATATGACATTTAATAGTTCGATCAGCATGGGACAAGGCAATTGTACAATGTAAACAGACCCATTTCACTTAATTAGTAAATTAGTAAAACTATTTGCTTTGTAACAACAACAAATACTACAAAGTCGCCTTCCTATTTCAGAGTTTTCTGGTTATTATGGTAGGATGGAGATCAATTTTTAATCCCGTGGTTCACAACACATAAGTTCTGAATTCAAATCTCAAGATTAAATAGATTAAAATTCAATAAAGTCCAAATCAAAAAAGTGTTTTGAAAAAATCCTTGTTTTTAGCTTTAAATGAGTCATGAGAAACAGAACTTATTAAACTATGCATGGCTTTAGTTATTTTGAACGATGTAAATTCATGAATTTTCGTCAAAAATTATTTTTCGCTGATTTATGCAATATGCATTCAAGTAAATATCTGTAAAAATGCATAAAGAAATAGATTTTATTTTGGATCATAATTAGAAAATGTTAAAATATTTCTTGATTTTAAAATAAAAATTCTAAGAATTAGGTACTGCAAACATATGTTTTTACGGAAACAAAATCATAAATTTTTATCAACAGTTTTATATACCGTTACATGCAGTACTAAAACTCTCAATGAAAAAACTTATAAATAAATGCATAGCACTTCATTTTACACAATCTATATTCTCAACCTATTTAAGATAAAATGCCAAGGAACATATGAGTTTAACGTATAAATTGCTGTCCTGTATATTTCAGGGCAACCTTGAAATAAAAAAAAACGTAATTTCTAAGGAATTATATATATATATAGTATCATAAAAAGATTTTTTTAAAAAGAGGGAGCAGTGATCTCCTCTTTGACTTTTATCTTCCCAAAACTTTTGTCGAAATCTATGCAATTCCCTTTCCATCATAATCCTTTTATTTAAGATGAGGTTTAAAAAGTAAAAAATTATAATTCCGCCGGATCAATTTTTTGTTATAGTTTTGAAGGGTCTGTGATTGGAGTCGGGTTGGTTTGTACTTTCTACTCTACTGTTGGAGGGATGAAAGCTGTACTAATGACAGATCTTTTCCAGGTTCTTTTTTACAAATTAAAATAATATTTAAAGAAACAAAAGAAAATTGCACGTAAGATTGAAATCTTATATGTTTTCAATCATAACTCATCTTATTGAAGAGCTACTGATTATTGAGAAGGACAAAATGTTTTGTTTTTTTCTAATATGTAAACAAATAAATTTGCATCTCTTTTATTTGTGCATTAAATTTAAACTAGAGAAGCTACAAGGTCACAAAGCCGTAGCAATAATTTCGCATAATTTTTATGATTTCCTTCTGATTACTCCACAGTACTCTAGACCTAATTTCAAGTCATATATACAGTGGTATGTGGAATTCTGTTAATGGCCGTCTGTGTAGCAAACATCCACAAATCACCCATTATAATGAAATTTTAATGAAACCGTTGTATATTGAGCATAACATTTTTTTCAAATTTAGGGTCACTTAAAAGAAGGAAAAATAACATTACAAAATATAACATTATTTGTAAGTTTTTTCTTATAAAAGAGACGGGAAAAAAATATTGACATTGTTTTTAATTGTATAAAAATAGGCTTTAAGGGCGCTTCGCGCCCATCTTCTATTTCAACTTTTAATTGTAGCTTTATCTTTGAGCATCTTCTCTTTGTACAGTATAAAACAAAAACAAAAAAGTTAACTGATTTCATAAAAAAAAAATTTTCGCGCATTTTCAAAATTTTACAAAAATAAAAAATTGTTAAATACAAACTTTTAAAATTTTGATCATTCATAAACCTTCCCTGGGGTCACGTGAGGTCCCACACAAAATTTCGGCCCGATCGGTTCAGCCGTTTTGACGTTTATTGGATGCAAACATACAGACATGACAAGCTAAATTTATATATACTAGCCTTAGAGGGCGCTTCGCGCCCATCTTCTAAATTAATTGTGAACATGTTCTCTTTGTGTACATCGTAAAACAAAACAAAAATAATTCGCGGATTTTCACAAAAAATTTCGTGGAATGTTCTAGTTCCTCTAGAAGAAGATTTTCTTAAAAATTGTTCTTTGGAGATATATCTGATAAATCAATTTGGAGATATTTCTGATAAGTCAAATCATTATTCTAAAAATTTAAAATTCACTTTTTTTACGTGAAATTATAACGAAATTCAATGTCCTTTTCAGGGGACCTGTTTTTTCCGCGTCAATATGTTATGAAATTATAATAATAATTTCATAATAAAGAAAACCAATACATTTTAATTTAAATGTTTTTAGTCCTTACTGATGTTCTCAGCTGTGCTAACGGTCATTTTCTCAACCTGTCTTAAACATTCTGTATTAGAGGTACATATAGATTACTAATATTTACCAGAAGCCAAGGAGTATGAAATAGAACAACTGACGCGGCCCGCCCTACCATATGATTATTATTCATTTGAACCATATTTTTTTGCTCATTTTAATTTGCTAATTTTAACTATTAGCTCAATTGAACTATTTTTGCCTCATTTTAATTTTTTTTTGCCTCATTTAAATTATTTTTTTGCTCATTTGAACTATAATTGGGATCGTCCTAGTATACGATTTTTGGACCCACCCCCCTTCCTCTCAATTTTGTACATTTTTAGCTCAATTGAACTATTTTTGCCTCATTTTAACTTTTTTTTTGGCTTATTTAAACAATTATTTTGCTCATTTTGTATTATTTTTTGCTCATTTGAACTATGTTTTTGCTAATTTATGAACTATTTTTTGCTCCTTTGAACTTATATATTTTGCTCATTACCCGACTAGACCAGATAGCGTAGATTTTACGCAGACCCCGTCGAATGCGTTGATTTCGACGCTACAAAATTTTAAAAAGGAATTTTTTTAAAATATGTTGAAACCCGATATCAGACCCCTCCATTTTCCCCCCATATTCTTCACCCCCCTTCCCTTTTTGGCCCAGAGACGATTCTCTTTTATACAGGGCGTCCCAATAAACATGGAAATTTAGCGACGATTTCGAGATCGTCTTTTTAAATGGTTTTGATTTAGTATAGTGAAACCTGCTAAGAAAGCTGTAATCCGTAAGATTTTTATCTGGTTTAAAACTTTTTTATATTTTGATTGCATACGGTTTTACGCAATAAAAGAATAAATTCTTTTATTAAAACAAAGGAAACTGGTCTTCACTGTACATCTTGCAAAGACATTACTAGCTATCAAAATTGCGTAAGCAGCGTAAATGCATATAATTTTGGCTCCAATGCCGCAATTACAGCGCAAATTTGCGTAACTCTAGATTTTAGATTAGTGTAAATATCTAATTTTTAAAAGAAAATATTTTATAACTCAGGTCTAAGTAAAAATATCATGATTTTGTGGAGATATGGATTTTTTTCAGGCGTACAAATTGCGTAAAAATGCGCTCAATTTGCGTAATCGCCTAAAACTCTAAATCTAAATTATTTGTGAAATATCTAAAATGTCAGAAAAGACATTATTGCATTATCCAAAAAAATTTAAAACATCGGTTTAAAAAAAATAATATAGTTTTCTTTATTAACATTAAAATTGCGTAAAAATTGCGCTCTTTTTACGAGTATGTTTTGAGTGTTTTAAAAATTTAAGAATTGAGTGTCTGTAAAGGTGTGTGTGCAGCCATATTGTATATGTAATATGTAGCATAGGAAGCCGGGAGTTCTGTAGGATTGGGGGGGGAAGGGGGTGTGGTTTGAAAGAGACTGAAGCCACACAGTACCAAGTTCAGTTTTTCACCGCTAGGCGTACCTCTTAATATTCACTGTAAACTTTAAAATTTTTGTTTACTAAAAGTTTACAATTTGGAAATCAAGATTTGGGTTTAAATCTTAATTTTACTTTTTTAAAATAAATAATTTTACTAAGAAAATGCGCTGAATTTTCTATCGGAAAGTTTTAAATATCTTTTGTAACCTTAATTTACTCTAAACTCAATCTCTTTTCTTCTGTAAGAAACCGCATTACTTAAAGAATGGAAACAGTTTAATAATTGCGCAATTGGCCTAACGACTATGCAAACTAGACGTAGTTAAAGCTGCCTATGATTAAAGGACAGTATGCAAATTTATGTCTCTGATGATGCAAAAAGTCTAAAAGAGTTAAAATCTAGACGCAATATTTACATTAAATTGACAAAAATGACGCTTAAATGGCTCTCTTTTGCACCATTTTGCCAGCTGGGTACATTAACAACATTACAGCCTTTTACCGTTTTCCTAAAATAAATTCTAGCATACATAATCACATTATGACATTTGACATCTGCAACTTCTTAACAAAGACGATTTGCTATTCTTCACTCGATTCCCATGTTTATTGGGGCACTCTGTATTCAAGGTTTGGGAGACAGCAGTGGATAGAGACAGGATTCAGTTTCTAGAGATATCCCCAGATCCTACAGTTAGACATACAGTCTGGACACAGGTACAGGGTGTCCTAAATATACCGACATACGGTCTGGACACATGTACAGGGTGTCCTAAATAAACAGACATACAGTCTTGGACACAGGTACAGGATGTCCTAAATATACCGACATACGGTATGGACACAGGTACAGGGTGTCAAATATACAGACATAATGCAATTCTGTCAATGTTTCTGTATGCATGAATCCTGCTGTGATGTTTCAGAACAGATGTCTAAATTAGTTCCTAGACAGAAATGCTACATTAAATCAAAAGAGGCCTGTCATCAGGTTCCAAATGAGGTCTATAACAGTGTATACCCAGGAAGTAATGTACTCAAGTTACAAAAGAAACCAAGAATGAACTATATGAAGATGCGGAGTTGCTAAGAATGTAGAAAATTAGGGAAAGATAACCCTATTTTTCAACCGTAATAAATACCGTAGCAAAGCCTAGAGTTACACCCAGATAAATCACTCAATAAATTGTCTGTAAAAATCTAAATGCACTTGTAAATAATTACATAAAACTTATATTGCAATTAATCTAACCTAGCTACGTCTGAAAATAGCTACATCATTCTGTATTGTAATTAGCCTAACTACGCTATTGTATATAATGACGCAAATTGTAATTACGTTTATTAACTTAACCTGTAACATAGATATCAAAGTAAACTTCAGTTGCAATAATACTATGCTTTAATTGCAGTGTAAGAGTAATTGTTTCTTGGTTAGTGAACGAGAAGCATCCTGAATCACTTTTTTGACAGATAAATATAGATTGGAATTTAAATTGATGGTATCTGTAAGGACAGATACCTGAGAATACAGCCAGATCCGTATCCGGATTGATCTTGACTATGGTATTTGTGTGAACCTTGAGTTCCTGATTAAGTTTTATCTGTGGGACAGATACCTGAGAATACAGACTGAGACGTATTAAGATTGATATTGATTATGGTATTCATGTGAACTTTGAGCTTCTGATTGAGTTGTACCTGGATTGATACAAATCCGAGAGCCGTTTTAGGAGTAGCACACTTAATACAGGTCTAGACATACTGTTTTGACTGCACAGACGATCACAATGTCCTAATATACATTAGTTGCTCATGCTTTTTATGAATGGACAGTTGACACAGTTACAAGATGTCCAAAAAACAAGATAGAAATGAAATACAGCCTTTTCCAGATAACTACAGTTTGACATAAACTGTCTAGTTACACTGTGCAAAGCATGATAAACATGTTATTAATTACACAAATTACATAGTTTCATGTTTATTTACTCTTTATTCTTTTTTTTTAGGTCTTTGGAGGCTGCTTTGTATATTGCTCATTGTACGCTGTCAATCAGGTATTTTTTATTTACAGAAAAAAATTTTTTTTTTAAATAATCTAATTTTTTAACATCAATTTTACAGGCTCAGGTTCAACGTTTGATGACCCTTCCGACCCTAGCTCAAGCTCAAGCAGCTCTTTGGATCCAGGTTAGAGATAAGATGGCTCCAAAAGATAGAGATTGTTAATCCAATAAAAAATATACATATTACCATCATTATTTTTATTTAGAAGCACAACTAATATGCTCAAAGTCGTTTTATTAGGACCAGAATGTTAAATTCTTTTTGTTAAATAATCAGTCAAAAAAGCGGTTTACAGTAAATTTTGTGTATTTGACATTTGTCGTTTATTAGACCTTTATGGGGATTCCTAAGGTATTTCAACTGATTCTTTTACTCGCATCAGAGTACCCTTTATTGATATATTTTTTAAGGTGCCTATATTGATGTGTCTGTCTCTTCTCACAAGTTTTGCAGGCCTCTGTATTTTCTTTACGTACAAAGACTGTGATCCTTTTCTAGAAGGAAAGCTAATCAATATAGAATATTATGAATATTTAGAATCCAATCAATTAAATCTTTAGTAAAATAAATTATAAATCATAAAGACTCCCGAACATTATTAAAAAATTAACTTTTCATGAAGATTTTTCATTTTAATTTGAAAATCCAAAAATTATCTTTACCTTACGTAGACCGGAACTATGTTTTTGTTGCCACGTTGACCGAAAACTAAAATTAGCTGGGCGCAGGTAGAATACAAAAATCTGATCAGCTGTTTCCAATATTTATTCTCGACCAACTAGCCCAGGTAAAATTCAATTAAAATTCTTAACAACACTAATAACTTTGGAATATTTAAAAGAATTGATTTTTTTAAATTAAAATTTTATAATAAAGATATATTTATTTTCGGTACTTCGGTGTACTTTCTTCAAAACCAGTATAAAGCAAAATGAAAAAAGTTTTTGTTTTAATCTTTTATTTATATACAAATATGACTTATATATCTCTGAAAATGATTAAGATTAAGATTAAAGTTTAGATTTATTCAAATAGTGTTGTTGACGGAAAACAGCAACACGCTAGACAAATCAGGATAATAGGCCAGTTAGGATTCTGGTGGGGGATGTTTATTTTCCCCGGACAATTCTTTCCCGATAGGCCGCACAAATACACACAACAGAGTAACCCCGTCTCAGAAATTCGATAACAAAATCTTTATTTCCTAAAAAATAACATAAATTATAGGTCATGGTTACTTGTACAATGTTATAATGAATGTTAATAGTAGAAAAAATCTTACGAATTATTTAGGGATGGTCGGGGGTGGCTTATTGTTGATCAGTATTGAAATACGTTTTTTTAACTTCTGAAAAATTACAGTTAAATATTTAACGAAATTCACTAATGCTTCTTATGAAAATATTCTTGCTTAACTTTAATGATTTCACAATAACGAAAATGGTTGAAGTTCTGTGGGACAAAGAACAAAGAATATGCGGGCTGAAATAATTTGGTTTGGCCTGTCTCCGAGAGGAAATTTTACGTTGAAGACGACATTATCCGGAGTCTTAAAGTTAATGGTTAACAAGTGTATTTTAGCCATCATATTTTTCATGTTTAAATCCAACAGATTTTCAATAAAGTTGTTTATTAATCAGTAAATAAATGTTCACAAAAGGTCTTAATTTTGGGTTGTTTGAATCTTAAATACTGTCGTGAAGAAAATTTTGATCATAACATCAAATGCATATGGAACAATATTTGAGCCTTGGATTTTCTTAAAAATCTATTTTAGTGTTTCTAAAATGCAAAATGTACTATAAAAAGTAAACCGCACCAATTTTAATCATAAATTGTCTATTGTAGATCCCTGGACTAGCAGGGTTAGCTGTAGGAGGAATATTCACTGGATCTTTATCAACTACAGTGAAACCCTTAATAACGAATACATCGAAAGAATTCATCAAATGTCGTATTCTTCACTTTCTGAAAATGGAATGTTGCAGATCTTTAGTTTTTTAATTAAATGAAACTCTTTAAAACTGTTCCCGCATATTCATGACTATTTATTTATTTTCGCAAATACTGAAATTTACGTAATATAGTATAAAACTCATTGAAAAATTGTCAAGCCGACATTTGATAAATTCATCCGATATATTCGTTTCACTGTATATCATCAGCAATAAACTCTCTATTATAGATTCCTGAACTAGCAGGGTTGGCTGTAGGAGGTATATTCTCTGGATCTTTATCAACTGTATCATCAGCAATAAACTCTCTATTATAGATTCCTGGACTAGCAGGATTGGCTGTAGGAGGTATATTCTCTGGATCATTATCAACTGTATCATCAGCAATAAACTCTCTAGCAGCTGTTACTCTAGAGGACTATATTAAACCCTGTTGTACTGTACCTGAGAACAGAGTGAGTATGTACATTACATGTTTTTACTAAAATGGACTGTTTTTTATACAGGGTGTCTTATTAAACATGAAAGTTGAAAGACGACTGCCAGGTCGTCTTTCATCTTTGAAATAATTTGCGGCATTCATTCTACAGTACATTTTTTATTACTCTCGAAAAAACATTTTTTAAATACCCCTATTCCTGGCATTTCTTGTGCCTTCATAATGAGATGAAGCAAACAAAATCTATCAACTAACTTATCAAAAACCTCTAAATTATCTAAACGTCCAATTTATTTGTTGTGCAACACTCAAGTCATTAGGTAGATATCAAATATCAAAGTAGACAACCTTCAAGTCGTCTCTCGATTATCTTGTTTTTTGGGACACTCTGTAAGTTTTGAAACTCTTTAAATCAATGTTCAATTCAACAATTAGTAATAAAAGCTTCTGGCAATTGCATTCTGTAGCTTTCATTTATACCTTTTTATTAACATCTTCACGGTTTAGTCTACTCTTGTCCTGAAAGGGTTGGCCCTGGGGTATGGTTTGGCCTGTATTGGCCTGGCATTCTTAGCAGATCTGCTTGGAACAGGGGTACTGCAGGTAATCTATAGTTTCATACATTATTCTTCTTATTAAAATAATACATTTTTCAAACGGTAACTAAACTTAAATTGCAAAAACCGAAGAAAAAATTGAAAAATTGTAAATTCATAAATGTTGTTTACATTATTATTGTTTCATTACTGTAGTAAATATTTGAAATATTTAAAAAACTAATTCAGGCCTCACTGACAATATTTGGAGTAGTAGGTGGACCTCTTCTCGGCCTTTTTGCTTTAGGTATTCATTACAGTTACAGTCAGACCCTGAAAACTAGAAAAATCCTTGTTAAGTGAAATAGGTCTGTGTAAACTGCACAATTTTCTTCTTTTTATGTTCATTTTTTTGTCTGTAACTGTACTATTGTGAAAAATCAAATGAAAAAAATTCGGTGTTAACTAAGATCCAAACCTCATAGTTTGAATAAAGTATAGATGTTAGTTCTACTTTTTTAGAAAATATATTTCGGTCTTGCTTGACCCTCTATACCGTTATCATGATATAATAAATAACCATCCAAATTAAAAATAAAAAAGAAAATACGTTTTAAAATCGCAAGATAAAAAAATTTAAAAATTTTAGAAAAAGGCTGTTAGATGAAAAAAAAACGAACCAGAATCATGATTTGTAAAAATGAAAATTGGCAAATACATAATTTTTAAAAAATGTCGAAAGACAATTATTATTCCTAAATATATATTTGTTTCTGCCATAAAGATCATAACAAACTGTTAAATATAAAACTTAATTACAACAAAATCAATACAAGTACGTTTAGTCATGAAAATAGAAAATGAAGACTGCAAGTTTTTCTCGCTAAATTGGGGGAAAATATATATGATATTTAGATTTTGTTGGAAATCTTTTAATTCTATAATCCGGGTGATAATTGAGAGACGACTTTACAGAAATTGTTTTGTAATTATTTAAACATTTCATGTTTCCTTCTGCCTGAAACACTTGCTTTTTTTGTCAAATAATTTATTATAATATCGAAAGACTTATTCAAGATGTAAGATCAAAATCTTCAGTCGCTATGTTTAAGGGGTTTCAAGACGTCATTGAAGTCTCATCATTTGTGGGTAACCCTGTATGTCTTCTTTATATAAAGCTGGATTCCAAAGTTAGCACACCAATAAATCAACACTATATTGTAAAGGAATGCTGACCCGGATATCGGGGCAGGCGGGGGCAGTGACCGGCCTTCTTACAGGGCTTATATTCGTCTCATGGATCGGTAAATATTATTGTTATTATTATTATTATTATATATAAAGATCGTTACTATTATGTTTATTATTATTATCGTTTGTATTAATGTTTTATCCTCTATCCTTCCAAGGGTTTGGTGGACCTAAACCTCCAGTTCCTAAGCTCTCCCTGAGTATCTCCAACTGCAGTAATCCTGATTCTGATTTGATGTGGAACAGTTCTACCTGGAGCTCTACAGCTACTCTCAACCCTACCTGGAGACCAACCAATTCAAACTCAACCGAACTTAACCCTGAAACTGAGTACTTCTACCTGTACCGTATATCCTATGCATGGTACTCAATGATAGGTTTTCTAATCACCGTCGGAGTAGGTTTACTAGTCTCCGTCCTGTATTCAAAGATCTCCGGGTTTGAACCTGAACTGGTAGAGGATAATCTTCTCTCTCATCTAACAAATCGGAGTTCAAATAAGTCCTATAGGGTTCACGAGGCGTTTGGAGATACAGAGAAGCCTGAAAAAATCCAGGAATGCAAATTATAGTGCATTTATATTACAATGTAGATGTACACATGATTAAGTACATAAAGTGAAAAAGTTGTGAATATATACGTATGTACGTAAATATAAGCTTAAATATAAGAACTTCTACATTTTGTGAAACGTTGTTTAAAAAGTATTTGCAAAATCAAACACTTCTCTATACACATACTATAAGATGAGTGTGCAGAGATGAAATGTTAGTAAATAACCAAAATTTTGTTACTATAGATAAAACGCAGAATTTTCCATCATTGCACATGGTATATATTGTTATTTTCTGATAAATGTTTAAATATAAATTATGCATTTAATAGAGATTTAATATTTACTTTTTGGTGCAAAACTTCTATTTTGAATTTCGCAATCACTGTCTCATTATAAACAGTTTTTTTTGCATTCAGAATTTTGATAGATTTGGCAAACAAAATTTATAAACATTGCAAATTGAATATTGAATTTCAAAGGGTCGAATTTGTCAAAACATTTTCAATTCAATTAAAAACTATGTAATAGAAACTTAAGGGCGTATATATCGGGGGGGGGGNNNNAACCCCCCCCCCCCTGTATACGCCCCTGCATATTAAGATATGATTATTAAAATGTTTGTAAATCATTAGTAAAAATTATCAATAAAAGACATTTTACTGCTAAATGTTTTGGGAGTTAAATTGATAACTGATACACAATGTTTGATTTTAAATCCGGAAACAAGAAAGAATCAAATTAATAAATTTAAAAATAGAAGTGAGAGTTGAAGAAGGAAAAAAGAATTGTGCTTATCTATGAAAAATCGAGATTTGTTTTAAAACATCCGGATCAATTATATCATGTATGACTAAGAGTCATTTCATATAGTCATAGATATAATATGTAATTTCAATCAATGTGTATTTTTTATGTTGATTTAGAATTCATTTATATACTTCTGAACCATTTTGATTTTTAACACATTGAAGTTTTAACACATGTCTAAAGTCTTTTATATTTAGTTTGTGACAAATATTTTTCATAAATTTATCACAGATATATGATTGATTTATACAGTATATTCTATTTTTATACTTTACAGAACTAGCTTGGAAACCCAGCGTTGCCCAGGGTACTCATTGTTACTTCCGCCGTTGACCCGCACTTGGTCGTAAATTACGATTTTATCTAATTTTCTAATAAAAGATACCAGTGCATCTTTCATATTCGCAATGTGTTAATCATAAGTAATGTATAATGCCAGAATATCTAGATTTTAATTCTTGTAAATATCATGCGTAAAATATATGAGATATCATGCGGGAAGAACTTCATGTTTCATTTTTAATAGAGTTGCAAAATCACAACACTTGGTGTCTCTGCTCATCTTTTAGAAACTAAAAGAATTGTAAAAAAATGAAATATTTTTATGACATACATTTTTAGATTATAACAAACATGAGCATCAGGGGCGTACGAGAGCATTTGTTTAGGGGGGGCACACTTTAGTCCCCCCTCCTTGGCAACATTGTGCCCCCCCTGTAAAAACCCCTTTTAGAAACAAAATATTGATACCTTTTTTAACTATGTAAACCATTCGATCATATACCCACTTCCATATTACATGCGTAATAATAAATTATTTATGTAATTTTCTTAAGGAGGGGGGGGGGCAAAATGTTGCCAAGGGGGGGAGGCACAAAATCAGGCAATCCCTCTTAATACTGTGGTGTAAGCTTCAAGGGATGAAAAATATAGATGGAAACGTTTCTAAAAAATTATCTATATTTTCGTAGGATAGATTAGATACATATTGTATTATAAATTATGATATCAAATATATTTTTGCACTGAAGGCAGTATTGATTAATAAAACTTTTTTAGTCTAGGGCAAAAGTGGGATTCTAAAGTATCTTTTTTCTATACGATGTAATCATACTTAAATGGAATACATGCGTAATTTCAAGTGACTCTCCATTTATAGAGTGGCATGTCCGATGTACCTTTGAAATTTTCATTTCTCTATCGTTTCTGAAGCAAGAAATGCGCAAGTCACTTTTGCATAAAATCACAAATGAAAATAATCAGTTTTCAAAATGGGAAAAGTAACACTCACCCCGACCAAATATAACGCCCGGACCTTATTTAACGCCGGGCACTTCACCTAGTCTGGAATAAAATGATACCGATTTTTAAACATATATATGTGGAGTTAAATAACACTATTTTATTTTTTAAATCCCCAATTAAAACAATTCTTTATCGCATATGGTAAGAATGTGTTTTTCTTATTTAATAACTTAGGAACCAGTTCCCTAAGCCTACATAAACTAGATTTATAGTAACACCCTGAACACAGTCAAGCAATAGCTACAAACTGTCTCGGGCGCACCTCTATTTGCGTAGAGAGATGATGAAAAATTTTCTATTTACTTCCAAAAAGTTTAGTTGATCATGCGGTTTTATACTGTGTACAACTTTAAAATTGGTTGGAGAGTAAACGACAAAAAAAGAAAAAGATTCGAAAAGAAAATAAATGTTTTAACTTAATATTTCCCTTTCAACCTAAAAATCATTGCGTGTTTATACATCAACCAGAGACACCTAGTGGAGAAATCTATAAACTCAAAATGATGAACGGTAAAGTTGGATCATACAAGGTAAGTTGAGCAATAGAACTATCATACCATCAGAACTAATTATTTAGCAGTAAGAGGTTCAAGGACAATTAAATTTTTGTTAAATATTAAAATTCCCTATTAAGAATTAATTAAATTTCTCAAACAAATTTCAAAATAAACAAATATTTTGACTGTTTCTTTTTTGAATTTTTCTTGTCCAGATAACCCTTAGGCCAGTTGATACAAAGGAATTTTATTTCAAAGACGACATTTACTAAATTTGAATTTGGCGGGCAGGTGAGAGGAGTACTAAAAACAAGTTTCAAGCAACACAATCACAAAGCAATGGCCGCCATGTTTGTTTAGTGTTAACGAACTCAGCTCAGCTACGCTACGTGTGAATGTAAATATAAACAAATCCAATATTTACGCCAGAAGAATTGTGATCTCTCATTTATTTGAAAATTGTGTAAAAGTTGAATTTCTTCTGAGTTGATTAAACGCAGGATTAATAGAGATTCTTATATGTGAATTGAATAATTTAAATGTTTATTTAGACGCGCACTTCACATTTACGCAGCAATATTTAGTTGATACGCATCATTTCATATTTTGATAGATGATCTATACTTTAACTAGATGTAAGTAATTTTTAGACATGATATTTTTAAAATTTCAGATTATTTTCTCATGAACAATCGCGTGTTTGAACCCTAGTCAGAATGTATCCAGTGGGTCATGGACAACCCCTTGTTCCCGGTCCAGGGCCCGTTGGTCCTCCGGTTCAACAACCATCAGTTGGTCCAGGAACTATTGGGGTTCCTCTACCCCTTGGCCCAAGCACTGGCCCACCCTTAGGTCAGACCCTGGTTCCTAACCCCCTGACAACCCTGGGAGGGGGATTGCCCCCTATAGGGACAATATTATCACCTCAGACGACCCTGACCAGCTCGACCGGTGTCCTTTCACCGGTGGATTCTGGTAGTCCGACCCAATCAATGGATCAACCTCACTTCACATGTCCTCGGCGGCCAAACCTCGGCCGGGAGGGAAGATCCATCCAACTTAGAGCAAATCACTTTCAGGTAATTTTCTATTAAGTAAGCTATCCTGTTCTAGTCGCGACGCTCGGCCCAGAAATTGTTCTAACTTAACCCTGAAATAAGTAAATAAAATAAAAATTTTGTTTCAATTATAGTTGAAATCTAGGTCATGTACAAAATTTATAGGGGAGGGGGTCCGAAAATCTTATACTAGGTCGGTCTGAGCCCAGTTTCTTGTACTTACAAAAATATTTACCCTACTTCTCATAAAATAAATATCAATGTTTTGTTGTTTAGATATCGATGCCACGAGGATATATACATCATTATAATATAAACATTCAACCCGACAAATGTCCAAGGAAAGTTAACAGAGATATTATTGAAACCATGGTACAAAAATACAGCAAAGTGTTTGGAAACATGAAACCAGTATTTGACGGACGAAATAATATGTACACAAGAGACGCCTTGGTGGCCATCGGCAACGAACAGATCGAATTTGAGGTAACACTGCCGGGTGAGGGCAAGGATCGGGTGTTTAGGGTCGCGATGAAGTGGACTGCACAGGTGGATTTATACTCACTTGAGGAGGCTTTGGAAGGACGAAGGAGAGATATACCATACGATGCCATTCAAGCCTTAGACGTTGTTATGCGTCATCTGCCTTCTATGAGATATACGCCGGTTGGCCGCTCATTTTTCTCTGCCCCAGATGGATATTATCATCCCCTGGGCGGCGGACGAGAGGTTTGGTTTGGATTCCATCAGTCTGTCCGCCCGTCACAGTGGAAGATGATGCTCAATATTGATGTGTCCGCCACCGCCTTCTACAAGTCCCAGCCCGTGATTGAGTTTATGTGCGAGGTGCTGGATATCAGGGATGTGAACGAGCAGCGTAAACCCTTGACCGACTCTCAGAGGGTCAAATTCACCAAGGAAATCAAGGGACTTAAGATTGAGATTACTCACTGTGGCGCAATGCGGCGGAAATATCGAGTTTGTAACGTGACCAGACGTCCAGCTCAAATGCAAAGTTTCCCGCTTCAACTTGAAAACGGGCAAACTGTTGAGTGTACAGTGGCTAAATACTTCTTAGATAAATACAAGATGAAACTGAGATATCCTCATCTCCCCTGTCTCCAGGTAGGCCAGGAGCACAAGCATACCTACCTACCCCTGGAGGTGTGTATTATAGTACAGGGACAGCGCTGTATCAAGAAATTAACAGATATGCAAACCTCGACGATGATCAAAGCGACGGCCAGGTCTGCCCCGGACAGGGAGAGAGAGATCAACAACTTGGTGAGGAAAGCTGACTTCAACAACGACCCATATGTCAAGGAGTTCGGGTTGAACATATCACACAACCTGATGGAGGTGAGAGGACGTGTCCTCAATCCTCCGAAACTCCAGTATGGAGGCAGAACACGACAACAGGCGCTTCCCGCCTCTGGAGTTTGGGACATGAGAGGGAAACAGTTCTTTGCCGGAGTAGAAATCAGAGAATGGGCAATTGCATGCTTCGCACCCTCAAGAACAGTGAAAGAAGATGCTTTGCGTAATTTCACCCAGCAGCTGCAGAAGATTAGTAATGACGCAGGAATGCCGATAATCGGTCAACCATGCTTTTGTAAATACGCAAACGGACCTGATCAGGTTGAACCAATGTTCCGGTACTTGAAAACACAGTTCCCAAGACTCCAGCTGGTCGTTGTGGTACTCCCGGGCAAGACACCGGTCTACGCTGAGGTCAAGCGAGTTGGAGACACCGTGCTCGGTGTGGCCACGCAGTGCGTGCAGGCTAAGAATGTCAACAAAACATCTCCACAGACCTTATCAAATCTTTGTCTAAAGATTAATGTGAAACTAGGAGGAGTCAATTCAATTCTTCTGCCGTCAATCCGACCAAAGGTAATAATATTTTTTTATGGGATTGTTCATGATTTAAAAGTTATAAAAAAAATCTTTTTACTGAAATATCAACTCATGATAAAATACGAACTTTCTAAAATAAACAAATCCATTTTCATCCTGCTCAAAAATCCCAAACATTTGATGATGTATTATTTTAAACCCATTTTTTATTTCTGATAAACCTGAAGAAATTATGATGATATTATGAAGGTGTTCAATGAGCCAGTGATCTTCCTTGGAGCTGATGTAACCCATCCACCTGCAGGGGATAACAAGAAACCCAGTATAGCTGCTGTAGTTGGAAGCCAGGACGCTCATCCTTCAAGGTCGGTATTTCAGGGGTGTTTATTTTCTTGAAAAATCACCACCTCCTCTTCCATATGTATGGATTGAATTTTACTGTAGTGAGGAAAATATATGATTTTTTTGTATACTTCAATTAAGTTAAAAAAAGATATAAAAAGTACCCCCCCCCCGTCCTGTACCCAACTACTTGAATTTTAAGGCTTTGTATAACATCTTTTTTCCATTAATGTCAAACCCACCGTTTCCCGCCCAATTATCAAGATTGTGAAATTTAGATTTAGTTTTTAATGATAATGATTTAAAAAAAAATTTCTTCATTTTTTATTATGTTAAGATACGCGGCAACAGTGCGCGTTCAGCAGCACCGTCAGGAGATAATCCACGAACTGTGCGCTATGGTGAAGGAACATCTAACCATGTTCTACAAATCTACCGGGGGATACAAACCACATAGGATAATTATGTACAGGTTAGTTGCACACCTTTAACCGCACAGACAAGGGTTTATATTTATTTGATGAACCCCCCCCCCCCTTTCAAAAAGAATCTCTATAATATTAGAAATATTAACGTGTAGAAGAGGTCCTTTTATGGTTTTTATCAATGAATTGGGGAATGATTTTTTGGGTAGAAAATAAGAGGAACTTATCTTGGAAGTTATCATATTTCCTCGGGTAAGGTGGGGTCTTTTTTAACAATTTATTATTTGTTAATTTTTTATCTTATAAATTGGAGACAGTTGCAGACAAATTCTGATTTGTTTTTTCTTCTTGTCATTGTTTCTCTCCTTCCTTTTTTCTTTTCCTTCTGTTGACTTTCCCTGATTCTGATAATTCTGAAAGAAGATTATAATTTCTCAAAACCAGTATTTATAGGGACACACTGCTCCAATGTATTAGTTTCCAGTTTTCTTTGTTGTCTAACTCAAGAATGCCTGACTTGATAAGCTGATTGAAGGTTAATGCATTGCTGACTAAGCTTTAACTCACACTTAATATATTTTTTGGGAGGTAAAATGGAGGGGGGAGGGGATGTCTCCCCGCCCTTTCTCCTTATCTCCCTAAGATTTCTTTTTTCGCCAACGGGAAAATTGACAATTGATACTGTAGACCTTATTGGAGTTCCTACCATTTTAATGTTCAAGTTCCTTTTTTCTTGTTTCTTATTTGTAGGTTCTGCAATTTTTTTGAGTTCCATTTCTAAATCCTGGTTACGCCTAGTGGTCTTAAAAATGGAGCCGACAACATTATTCAATTCAATACCAAATGCTATATGTGACAAATAGATAGGGTTGATTGAGGTGTAGGAGTTGGAAGTTTGGATAGGTCAGGAATGGTGTCAAGGGACTCCCATAGCATAGAAAATGCCTACTTTCCTCCGATTTTATATTGTTTCCCAGTCTACGGAATTTAAGGTTTTTCTCCATTGGAGTTGCACCGCATTAAAAAATGGGGAGTTGTTGCCTTTGTTGCTCCAGGATGTGGCATTTTCGACAGTAATCCAGTCTTCATAGTCGACCAAGTATCGCAGCCAGTAGAGTAAAATAAAAACGACATCTTAGGGCAATGGTTACCCACCTCTCAGGATTATTTTTTTAGTTTTCTAGTTTTCTTGATTCTGGCGAGCTATTTTCTTTCTTTCTTTTTGAGGTGTGGTGACGTCATGTTTAATTTGCATAGTGCTCCCTGTCCAAATATAGGCCAGGCTACTTAGAGCAGATCACTGCTTTTTGTGCCCTAACCTTCCCAGTGGTAGCTATCAACTGATTAGGTGGGGTTAATTTAGAAGCAGGTTAGTGTACAGTTATACTGTAAAGTAACTTTAAATTGAGACAAATTGAGACTTATTGAGAGAAAATGGAAAAAAGTGAGAAACTAAGAGAAACTGAGACAAACTTAAAAACTTAGATAAAAAAATGATAAAAAGAGAATTTGATCTATTTAGGGACGGAGTAAGTGAAGGACAGTTTATGCATGTTCTCCAGCACGAGCTCACAGCTATCAGAGAAGCATGTATAAAGGTAGAAACATCTAACTCAAATTTTCTAATCCCTATATCTTTACAACTTGATGGTGTTAACTTTTGTTTATTTAAACTTAGACTATCTTATCTAACAGTATTTTTAGTTTGAAAGGACAAAGGTCTACGACAACGGGTAACAAATCAGAGGTTGTGACAAAGACTCAATTTCTTTATTCAATTAAAAAAAATAGAAATTGATAAAAATTGATTTTGCAGCTCTAATCTAGTTTTGTTTGTCAATATAAAAATAGACTTTTTTGAATATCATTGATTAAAAAAGATGAATATTTTAATTGAATTAAAAACCCGATCGAAGGAAAAAACAAGTTACTTTATTTTTTACACTTAAGTTGGTGGGGAATCCTGATAGGATGGTAATTAGAATAATATATCATTGTGAAATACATTGTGTTAATGACTTTTTTTTAGTTGGAGCCTGATTATAAACCTGGAATCACATTTATCGTGGTTCAGAAGAGACATCATACAAGACTATTCTGCTCAGATAAGAAGGAACAAAGCGGTAAGCTTATAATATCAAAATCAGTAAAAATGCATTAAAATTCAAGAATTTTAAAAAGTTGAGAATTTAGAAGAAAGATTATTTGTTTCGTAAGTACAAAAAAAATTTAGAAAAAATCAGGAGATATAAAGAGCCTACAGAAATTATAATTGGGAAGACATATTTTATGTGGAACTTAATAACTAAATATTCTATTTACGTCCTACAAAGAAATACAATTAATAGAAACAGGTTTAAAATTTATTTTTTATTATAGCAAAGTGTTAACTTCAATATCAACTTAAGAAGTAAAAACTAACGCTGTTTTTGTGTTGTAAAGGTAAGAGTGGAAATATACCTGCTGGAACTACAGTTGATATTGGTATCACGCATCCTACGGAATTCGATTTCTATCTCTGCTCACATCAAGGTAAAAATCGATTTGTTTGATTGATTCTTAGTTTTTTTTTTGAAAAGCTTAATGTTTCCTTTATTTATATGTTTGATCGAAGATTGAGCTTAGAATCAAATAATTGATTGATCACAGGGTGAATCAAACAAAGTGTGAATAAAATCCCATGATAATTCTACAGGGGTGTATATTTTTCTGTCGGGGGAATTTTCATTTCTCTATCGTTTCTGAAGCAAGAAATGCGCAAGTCACTTTTGCATAAAATCACAAATGAAAATAATCAGTTTTCAAAATGGGAAACATGGATGTTTAATGTAATACTTGATCAGACAAAGCTTTGAAGGGTATTGTTGTGAATCAGAATATATTTCAATTCTTTTCTTAATCTTTTAGTTTTGGGTGAGTGCAATGCAATGTAGAATGTAGATTCCATTGCCTCAGGGGGGGGGGGGCGAGGGGCTCAGCCCCCTCGTACGCCCCTGATGAGCATAGTCTAGAAAAGTTTCACATTGAATTTTGTATTACGTATTTCTTTTAGATAATACATAGATAAATAATTATGGATTTATAAAGGAAAGGACGTTCATGTATTTTTAAACACATCAGCATATATTGAATATTATGAAAACTTGAATTTTCACATGTATAAATCCCGACCCGAATTCACATCTTGGTCCAAGAGGTCAATAATTGATTCAATCTGGGAGGAGGAACGTGTAATTGACGTCTACCTGTTTCTCAAGTAAGTAATTCTGTGTTATTAGCCTAGGAACTATTCTCTAAGCCTAAAAAAACTAATGATTTGGTGATCAACCTGAACATTAAAGCTATTAACATTAGGCGCACCTCATTAATACACGAGTCGTAATGACAAAGCGTCTCCTCTTTTAATTAATATAGAAACTATGCCAAACTGGTCGGAGCGATAAATGGAAAATAAACAATTTTGTTTTCAGAACAAATATTAAGTATAAAGGTAAAAGGTACTTTAATGAAAAGTTTTAGAATTCCTAAAGATTTTGAAATATTTGATCCAGAGTAGATACTGTCAGGCTTGCAGAGACACCTAGCGGTCATTTCATGAACTGGAAATTTCTACAACCGGTGTAGCGTAAGATATAGACCAGGTGTAGCGTTACATCCAGACCGGGCGTTATATTTGGTCCGGGTGAGTGTTACATGTGAAATCCATGTACAAAATTGATAGATACATGTTTTGTTTATATTTTCATTATTTGTAATTTTTCTCCTATAAAGCTTCACTTTTCTCATATTATATTAAATAATTGAAAACATAGTTTAACTTTCAAAAGTTTTTTTTTCAAAACATGGTTTTAGATGCTCCGCCCCCCCCCCCTTACCAGGGGTCGATAAAATTCCATCTAATACGATCCCAAAGTTGATTGATCGATATTAGGGGAAGAAATTAGCCAAGTTGATTTGTATACCAATTGTAAGTATGATTTAAAGTTTAGAAAACATTCCATACTGCAGAATGTATGATGTATAATTGTTTTATATACCATAATTTATCTCTTATGTTAACTAACATACTTAACACCCATCTGCACGTACACAAAAACTTGCCAAAGTTCAAAAATGACACAGAAAGTGCATTTTCATGCACCTAAATGTACTTTCAACCCCTAACCCATTTGGGATCAGAAATGGAACTATATGGACTCCTGCCCTAATCACAATATGTGGATTTGATTAATTGATTGATTGTTTTTCAGGTATCCAGGGAACCTCCCGACCTAGCCACTACCACGTCCTCTGGGATGATAATAGGTTCGAGGCTGATGAACTCCAGCAGCTCACATACCAACTCTGCCACACGTAAGTTTACATATCAGTATTATATTCTATTATTTCTATAAATTCTATTTTGAAGACAATTTTACCCCAGTGCTGTAGAAATGTCGGCGCATTTTTTAAGGGGATTTCATCGCTAAACGGTGAAAAATGTGAGATTTAAAGGGTAATATTTAAGGTTAAAGTGTTGAGAAAAAGGGAAAAATCTAAACAACGTGTTGAAAATCTAAATATAATATTACCCTCTTTAAAGGTTGTTTGTATTTCTGTATGAAATTCGAAAATCTTGGGCCGCAAGTAGCAAAGACGAGCACGGAAATCAAATAGGCTAATCCCATTATAGAGTGCGTCATATTTCTTTTTATACACTTTATATTAATCTCAGTTCATCAAATAAGTAAAATTAGAAACCTTTTTATAAATCGATTTTTTAAGATACGTGAGGTGCACGCGATCCGTCTCCATCCCTGCTCCAGCGTACTACGCACATCTGGTTGCATTCAGAGCCAGGTAGAGAAATATTTAAATTTTAGATTAGAATCCATTTTTTATTTTATCTGATCCGGATTCGCGAGTGGTCCTGTACAAAAATGGATCCGGATCCAACTCATGAATATTAATTTTGCAAGTTTCTTTAATCAATAAAAATTAAAAAAGTTTTTTTCCCGATGTTTTTCTTGATATTTTGCCATGTCGATCCGGATCCGTGGACCCGGATATTTTGAGGAGACGGATTAAGGGAATTAAAATGTTACGGAACCTAAGCTAGATCCGAAGAGGACAGAACACCTACGGATTAATTAAAATTCCTTTCAGATATCCTGCGGTGGTCACTGGTCATACTCTTCAGGGATAACTTTTATTGAGGGGTCAAGCATTAATCCTCAAATTTTTAAGTGTCCACATTGGATATCGATATCAAGTGTTCGAGATTAACGATACTCCTTTTAAAAGCTGTAACTCCTACTATTTCTCATTTTTATTTTAGACTTTATTTTAACATATTTTAGATATCATCTGGTTGAGAAGGAACATGATAGTGGTGAAGGAAGCCACCTATCTGGAGGCTCGGAAGACCGTGCGCCAGCTGCCATGGCGCGCGCCATTACTGTGCATGCGGATACAAGGAAAGTTATGTACTTTGCATAAACGCACATCAATGCTCATCGGCCCCACACATTCACTAATACTTAGGTAACATTTAAATATATTAAATATTTTTATATGTTCAAGTCTGCATTTTCATTGTGATTTAATTTTCTCTTTTTTTCGTCTATTTTTATGTACACTGTACACTGTACAGTCGTCGTTGTATATATCAAAACAATGAAGACGACTTACGATTTTAATTTTTGATTTCTACTAAGCTTTCCAACAGCATGGATACACATAAACAACCAATTAAAGCATGTGAGGTCAGGCCGGAAATTGCCTCGAGGCAGGTACTATATGAGGTTATAGCTCAGTAACCAGAGGTCTCAGGAGTCTGAAATTTTGGATTTAATGTTTTTTCATGATATGCTAGCTGTGAGAAAAATTTAAAGAAAATCCATGACATTGACTTCAATAAAGAATGACCCAAAATTGTGATTTGGGAAAAGCTTGCTAGAATTCAAAACTTTGAAAAGTTGTCTTCATGGTATTGATATAAACGTTGACCAGTCTCTCTTCATTTAATTCCTTAATTTACTTGAGTATTTTACTATTTCAGCCTCTCGTTTTTCTGTTTAAAAATTATCCAAGTTCATTAAAAAAGATGAGTAAAAAGAGGTTAATATTCTTGTTTTTATTTCAGAAGATTAGAGTTGTATATTGCACAGTGTACCTGGAACTTCCCCTCCCCCTTCAGTGGCAACAAGGGGGTTCAGCCAGTAGAAGGCTTTCATGTACATTGTACACAGCGCCGTATTGATCACAAACGGTACATAGATTGTCCCTGATAAAGGCAAGAGTCAACAGTTTAAAGAAGAATTAAAATCAATAGTAAACCTGATATGTCTCCATTCTCTTTATCCTGCTCCATTGTTATTTCCCTCCGTTCTCCCTCATAATAATGTAATCACTGTGAAAGCAAACCAATTTTTACACCAACACATCTTCTCTACTAGTACCTATGTAATTCGCATTCTCCTCGTACTGTACTGTACAATTGTACACTACACTGTACACGGTACTTGCATAGTTATTTCACTGCTTTGCCAAATCTGTTGTTAGTTGCCTAATTGTTATTAATTGATTGTTTGTGCTTAATTATGATGTACATAGGATGCTGTACAATGTAAGTGTACAACACAAATGTTTCTTTTTATACGCTGGATTGCGTTTAAGCATTATAGTACAAAATTTTTATCTCATCATGTACCTTTTTTACAGCATCAGTAGTGTACAACGTTAAGTGTACTGCAATTAATTTCTGTTCATGAAAATTTCTAAAGATGTAAATATGTTCAAATATCATTGACATAGCTCTGTGTTAAAAAATTTATTAGTCCGCTAGAACTGTGAGCTGATCTGTGAGCTATGTATACCTCGGTTGACCTTCATGAATGATTGGTTGACACTAAGCGCGGAGATCAAGCCTGCCCTAGGTATACCCACGTGTCACGTGATCACTCTGACCGCGCTTCAGGCGCGCTCTGTATCTCCAGCCTGCCCGAGCACGTGCCAGGGGCGCTTCACGCCACGTTGATCTCCGTTGCTTTGAAAGTAACCAGTGTATTCACAAACCCGGAGTACAGAAAGAACTTGTATCCGGAGAAATTTAACCCAACCTTGAATCCTCTTTTAAATCTTTTACTCCTCTCACTTGTACACCATGTACCTGTACACAATTTACATGTACAAGCTTTTCTCCCTATTTTATGTACACATGGTTGTGTGTGTACTGCATGAATGTTTGTATGTAAAACTGGATCCGGTAATATCCTGCCTAGCAACAACGTGGAATTAGTTTATAAGGGTTAATATATATATCAATATATATATATTATATTCGTTTCTAGTATCAATTATATTTGTCTTTTCTGTCACACAAGCATTTTATTCCATTTTATTTGTTACAGGGTGAGCCTTAACTCAAATGTTTTAAGTTTTTTGTACTTAATCTTTTTTCAAATATTTTTCCACTTCTTAGAAGGAACTAATGCGCAAAATTCCCAAGTAAAGCGGAAAGTGATTTAATATTTTACTTTTCACCCTGTATCATAGGTTAACATTATTCATGTCGATATAAAAGTCTTATTACAAATGCAACTATTTGGTCCAGTAAAGCTGATCTTCAATAATTCTAAATATATTGAAATATCATTTTTTGTATTTTTTTTTTGGCAATATATTTGTTTGTAATATTTGTGTTTTTATCAGGCAAGCAAGCTTTTAGGAGTTAATAAGTAAAGCAAATGTTTAAGTGTTCGCGAAAAATTAAAGGGGGGTATAGGCTTACGGCGAAAAATTGTCAATGGTGATTGCTACTAATCTTACTTCTATCTGTTGCGTCTATCAGAAGAAAATGGTTAAAATCGACTCATACCGAAAAACGTGGCGTCCATACAAATTCAGAAAGATGCAAGACTCGGATCGTAAAAGAAATAAATTTAATTCCATAAAAACCCAATAAGATATTACAAACTATTATCATCGTTAATTTTTCGATCCATTCGTGTACAGTTGATATTTAATGGTATTTTTTATTTCTTATATACATTTTTTGGTTAAAATTGTAAGGTTCGTTTCATCAAAATTAGATACTCTGCTACAGTGAGAACCAGAAAACTATAGTTAGAAAGACAGCATCACAGTGTATTTGATATCGTTACAAAGCAAAACATTTTAATTTCTAACTTATTAAATCACTTATTCAGTTAAATGGGTCGGGGTAATTTCCTAGAGAATGATTTTTTGACCCCCCCCCCTCATATCAATTTTGTACATTGTTACCATTGGTCATGTGGCCGCATCGCCCGGCTCCTAGCCTGTCCTAGCCGCGGTGTTCGGCCCAGAAATTGTCCTAACCTAACCTAATACTAAAATAATTAAAAAAAAAATAATAATCTTGCTGAAATCATGTACGAAGTTGATAGAAAAGTGAATAACTACTAAAGTGGAGCAGACTAAGGAAACGACGACAGATTGGGTTTGGAAATAATTGCATAAAAAGATTTCCCTTGGAAAGTAGACTAGATAGATAGACTAAAGATCCATGTAAATGTCGCCTTCAGTTAGAACTTCGAAATTTTCATAACAAAAAATTTTGAATGTTCGTTTGTAGCTTATATGTAAATACTATATAGTCGCTTAATCAATTCATTGATTTTGCCAGGCACTTCTAATTCTATAGAAAATATCGTCGTTTTTCTAACTTAAAAACTATTAATTACTCTTTTTGTTGTAACTATGCGATTCCAATGCCACTTTTTCGTCTCCTTTTTTAAATTGGATCCGGCTATTAAGTACTTCTTTTAAGTTTTGCTGATTTCTTTTACAAAAAAAAATTTCCAAAAATGTCTTCTTTTGTTTTGATTTTTATGCAAAGACTTGGTTTAAACATTCTATTATTACTAGGAAGGTTTTAATGATATCTCGATAGATGACCCTAAAGAACTTTTCCATAACTTCAAATTTTTGTAGAAATAAAAATTAACATAGATACAAAATTTTGGAAATTGTTTATCTATATCTGGTGTATTGATTGGAAAGTATGACGAGATGTGAAAATATTCTCACATTTTATTCTAGTTTTATTACCCAAATAAGAACCAATTTTAAAAACTTACATAAGAACTGTCAATTTAGGTATTCTAATCAAACTAAATTCTGAACAAAAAATCTGCAGTTTAACGTAATATTGTACACAATATAAATTATACATTGTTTTTCTTTTGGACTTCTTTTGGTCTTATAATTATGTTTTTTTTTTTAACTAAACCAGCGGCAATTTATACAACTTTTTAACTACAAATAATGGTTCATTGAGTTTTTTGTTTTGTAATTTTTGTTTGCATTTATTTATATTTTCTAATCTTTTTTTTAAGAAAATGATAAAATTTCCAATAACATTTTTTTTAATGAATAAACAATCGAGGTTTACAGGGTATTAACTTATAATAAGGGAAACTATTTTTTAGAAATAATTAAGCAAGAAATTTTGAGGGAACTTACAAAAAAGTTGAAAACTTTACTGAATTTTGATTATTAAAAAACAATTTGCAACAAACTCAAATTTTTAATCCCTATATGTGTACAACCTGATGGCGTAAACCTATGATATTTTAAACTTAAACTATTTAATCTTACAAAATTCATAGTTTGAAATATCTTAGATCCACATTGGTTTGAAATCATAGTTTTTGGCAAAGACTCCATTCCTTTTAAAGAAACAAACAACAAAATGATGAGACTTTATTTCACTAATCTTTGTATTTCCAAATCTATCTTATGGTTGATAAGAAGATTATTTTTTTCCATTTGAAATATATTTAATTACTGGCTGAACTGTCGGGCGTTGCCCGTAAAAAAATGGAATTTTGAAGAAAAAATCTAAATTTTTGAGAAAAAAAAATTTCGAAGTTTATTAGTAAATTTTTTTTTCATTCAATGTAAAGGTAAAAATTCCAAGAAAGAGCTCAAACTTTTTTAATAATTGTACAATTAGACGATGGTAAGAAAAAATACTAATGTTGTAAGTAAAATACGAGTGTGGGTTTAGGTCTGGTTACAAGTTTGCTTTGATAACTAGCCTAGCAATAGTATTTCCTTGTTTCCATAATTATGTAATTTTATTTAAGCCTTGTTCAAATTCCGAAACCTCTTCACTTTCCAGAGTTTTTCTTTAAATTTGATTTGTTTTGCATCGTTAACCTTGGATTTTGCTTTAATTGAAACCTGATATAAGACCTGAGATTAGTTGTAATATAGTTCATACACTTAGTTCTAATTTAACATGCATTTTTCTTGGTTGCTCTGCTCTGTCCTCAGCTCCGGGGTTCTAGGAACTTGGAAGAATAGAGAGGTAAACCAATCCGGAGATAGGTAAACCAACCAGGAGACTGGTAAACTAATCCGGAGACAGGTAAACAAACCCGGAGATAGGTAAACCAACTTATAGATGGGCAAACCAACCCGGAGACAGGTAAACCAACCTGGAGATAGATAAACCCACCCGGAGATAGATGAACTAAACTAGGGATAGATAAACCAACCTGGAGATAGATAAATCAACCTGTAGATAGGTAAACCAAACTGGAGATAGGTTAACCCACCTGGAGATAGGTAAACCCACCTGGAGAGGAGATAGATAAACCAACCTGGAGATAGGTACACCAACCTGGATATAGGTAAACCAACCCGGAGATAGGTAAACCAACCAGGAGACAGGCGAACCAACCTGGAGACAGGAATCTAACCTAGAGTGAGCTGTGAATCTAACCTAGAGTCAGGTATCAAACCTGGAGACAGGTATCTAGCCTTGAGACAGGATATTTAACCTGGAGACAGCTATCTAACCTGGAGACAGGAATCTAACCTGGAGACAGGTATCTAAACTGGAGACAGAAATCTAACCTGGAGACAGGTATCTAACCTGGAGACAGGTATCCAACCTGGAGACAGGTATCTAACCTGGAGACAGGTATCTAACCTGGAGACAGAAAACTAATCTGGAAACAGGAATCTAACCAGGAGACATGTATCTAACCTGGAGACAGGCAAACCAACATAAAGACAAATATCTATCTTAGAGACAGCAATTTATACAAAGAAGGGAATGTTTCTGTTTGATGTTCGAAATGTTTTCGCAACTAAAAACGTTTTGCTCTCCGGAGAATTTCTAGGTTATGCTACAGTGATAACCAGAAAAGTCTGGAATAAAAAGACGACATTTAAACTGTTATTAATTTAGATAGTCAAATAAACATGAAGCAGAACAATTGTGCAGTGTACACAGACCCATTTCACTTAATAAGTGATTTAATTACTTACTAGTAAAACTTTTTACTTTGTAACGCCAACAAATGCCTTTGATTTTATGTCGTCTTCCTATTTTATGGTTATCACTGTGCCTTTCTTCCAAGATTTATCTTAGCAGATATCAGTCTACTTTCTCAATATTTCTAGGTTATGCTACCTTTTTTTCCTAGATTTATCTTAGCAGATATCAGTCTATTTTATTAATATTTCTAGGTTATGCTACCTTTCCTCCTTGATTTATCTTAGCTAATATCAGTCTATTTTATTAATATTTCTAGGTTATGCTACCTTTCTTCCTAGATTTATCTTAGCTAATATCAGTCTATTTTATTAATATTTCTAGGTTATGCTACCTTTTTTTCCTAGATTTATTTTAGCAGATATCAGTCAATTTTCTCAATATTTCTAGGTTATGCTACCTTTCCTCCTTGATTTGTTTTAGAGGTTGTCAGTCTATTTTCTTAATATTTCTATCACTGATTTACGATTTTCATGATACTTCTAAGCGGATTTCATCTTGATATTTCTTTGCGGATTCAATCATTTTATTTTCATGATCTTATTAGTATATCTACGAACTTTTAGCCGGAATTATCATTATCAAGGCATTGTTGTTGATATTTTTTTGGGATTCAATTATTTTCCTGATATTTTCATGATACTTTCAATTTCTAGTCTGAATTAATCTTGATATTTCTCGACGGATTAATGCAATTTCTTGGCGGATTTAATTGATCTCTTGATATTTTTAAACAGATTCAAGCATTTTTTGATGTTTCTGCGCACTTCATTGGCGGATTCAAGCATTTCTTATTTGTATGCGGAAATAATAGTTTTCTTATATTTTAAAGGCGGATTTAATGAATTGATTATATTACTTGGGATTTAATCAATATTGCTATAGGCAGATTTCACGATTTTTAATATTTTTTGATGGATTCAAGCAATTTCTTGATATTTCTAGGTAGATTCAAATAATTTCTTGATATTTCTTGGCTGATTCATGCAATTTCTTGATAATTCTCTGCGGATTTAATTTTTTTCTTGATATTTTTAAACGGACTTTAACAATTTCTTGATGTTTCTGTCATTTCTTCAAATTTTTAAGGCGGAACTAAATAATTTTATACTTCAAGGCGGTTTTAAACGATTTCCTGATATTTCTAGAGAAATATGATGATATTTCTTGGGATAATTAAATTTTTCATATTTACAGGCGGATTTCTCGTATGGAGAACAGGTAAACCATGATATGGGTAAAGCTGTGCATGATGCTCGGGAGACAGTTTCCGATCTACTCGATGTAAAGCATAATAGTATGGAGCAAGCATACAAGTATGATCAAGGGGAGAAGAAGCCAAAGGACGGAAAACCAATGGAAAAGCCCGCCAATGAGAAACTTCTGGAAAACCAAATGGTAAAGCAAATGCCCACAATGGAAAAACATGCGGAAAAGCCTATGCCCGCAATGGAAAACCCCGCGGAGAAGCCTTTGCCCGCAATTAAAAAACCTATGGAAAAGCCAATGCCCGCTAAAGAACCTATGCATCCCAAGGAAATGCCTAAAGAATCTATGTCAAGTGGAAAATATTGAGTTCTAACGTAAAAAAATATACAACTTTTCTTGTTACAATTTATTATTTAAATTAAAAATTTTTAACAAAATTTTAAAAAGTACAGTGAATTTTCTCTGACTTGTGTGTTGTTTTTAAGCTTATCTGTAGTTTTCATTTTTCCAGGAATGCTGACTCAACTAATTGAAGGTTCATGTTCAAATTTATCGTTCAACATTCTTAAACAGTTTGTAGAAAACTTTCACTGCACTAATCGGGGTTTGAAAATTCTGAGGATATTAATTCTCAGTACTCTGCCTTAATATTGACAAATGGGATAAGAAAGGTTAGGAAAGGGGTGGATATTTTCGATAAAAGAATTTTGGTTCTTGTAAGTTCATCTCTGACACAGTGCTTCAGAATACAGCCTCGTCTACACCAATCATTTCCTTGCAACTGGCATATTATAAACTGGTATCATAGTGCATAGTGCACACCCATCAGTATTCTAATGCAAGGTTTACAGAGTTACCGTCTCTTCTGGCAAGAGGGAGGGGGAAGAGAACCGTAGATTAACCCCTCCTTCTCTGCACTATTATTTTCTTTTTTTTTTCCAAGTGGAGTGTACTGCCATGTTATTCCACACAGGGTTCTGTTCAGTCACAATAAACTGTAGAGAGTTGTATAAGAACCTGACTGTTCTGAGCTCCCAATTGATGCCTACACTAGATCCAGATTCAATCGAAAGAATTAACGTCTTTCCTACGAGTTCGGATACTTAATAACAGCTAACCAGGCTTGTTATTAAGGAGTATATTTAAAGCTGCAAGTAGCAAAATCTGGATCCAGCTAGGTAAAAATCTTCCATTCTCCATGTTAATAATACAGGGTTTACAGATTAATGCAGGCCTTTAATGCTTCTTGTAGTTCCGTTTAATTCTTTTCCATTTGTGTGCCACTATGTCTAATTAAATGATATATGATGAAATTTGAAATGTTTATTTAAAACTTATTACGGAATATATTGGAGCGTTATTAAATCGTGGAGCTGATTGCTGTAAGGGACCTGCTCAACTGTTGGTATAGATGAATCCTAGAACCCGGAGCTTCTAAGGTGCAGAACTGTTGAAGGATGCTGCTAGAAGCTAGTATAGATGAATCCTAGATCCCGGAGCTTTCTGGTTCAGGACTGTTGAAGGCTGCTGCTGTAAGCTCCTTAAAATAGAATTCAACTGCTGGTATCATCTTTTCAAGATTCCAAAGTTAGTTTAAAGGCACCACTTCAACCTTGAGCCTATAAGTAAAAAATGCAACAGAGTGCAAACAGGATGTTACACATATAAATACATTTTAACAATTTTATCAAGAAAGCACAACTATCAATTTTTAAGAGTTTTTTGTGCATTCGTTAGTGATGTTTACAAGTTTTAGATTATATAAACACCCGGCAGAGTTCCTATATATGGATGATTGAGTTCCAATTCCAGAACTCAACATTTTTTAAGATTAATATTTTAACATTCTTTGTTAAAAATGCATACTTTGAACTCCCTTACAGTGTATACGCCCCCACACCCCTGGCTAAAGTTTTTCTAGTTTGAAATTTTCTCTCTCTCACCCCTTATGTCTGAGTACTCTTAGAAGCGCTGAGACAGAGCCAGTTGTTGCTCCTCTTAAAGCTAGATGTTTACTGAAAAATATACGACTTACCTTTATGAAAATTGAATAGTGCATCAGAAATATATAATTCTAAATTTTGCTTTATTCAAGAGCTTATAACAAAACCTTTCGTTTTAACTAAAGCTTACTCTGTAACTAAACTTCACTCTTTAACTAAACCTTACTCTTTAACTAAACCTTACTCTAACTAAACCTTATTCTTTAACGAAACCTTACTCTTTAACTAAACCTTACTCTTTAACTAAACCTTACTCTTTAACTAAACCTTACTCTTTAACTAAACCTTACTCTTTAACTAAACCTTACTCTTTTACTAAACTTTACTTTTTAACTGAACCTTACTCTTTAACTGAACCTTACTCTTGACTAAACCTTACTCTTGACTAAACCTTACTCTTGACTAAACCTTACTCTTGACTAAACCTTACTCTTTAACTAAATCTTACTCTTTAACAAATCTTTACTCTGTAACTAAATTTCACTCTTTAAGTGAACCTAACTCTTTAACTAGACCTTACTCCTTAGCTAAATTTTGCTTTTTAACTACACCTTCCTCTTTAACAAATCTTTACTCTGTAACTAAATTTCACTCTTTAAATGAACCTTACTCTTTAACTAAACCTTACTCTTTACTAAATTTTACTCTTTAACTGAACCTTACTCTTTAACAAATCTTTATTCTGTAACTAAATTTTACTCTTTAACTGAACCTTACTCTTTAACAAATCTTTATTCTGTAACTAAATTTTACTCTTTAACTAAACCTTACTTTTTAACTAAACGTGTGTCTTTAACTGAACCTTCCTCTTTAACAAATCTTTACTCTGTGACTAAATTTCACTCTTTAGTGAACCTTACTCTTTAACTGAACCTTACTCTTTAACAAATCTTTACTCTGTAACTAAATTTTACTCTTTAATCGAACTTTCCTCTTTAACTGAACCTTACTCTTTATCTAAACCATACTCTTAAAGTAAATTTGACTCTTTAACTGAACCTTACTCTTTAACTAAACCATACTCTAACTAAATCTTAATCACTAACTAAATTTTACTCTTTGGCTAAATTTTGCACTCTTTAACTGAATCTCTTAGAATGCTCTTAGACTAAACCTTCCTCTTTAATTAAACTTCACTCTGTATCTAAACCTTACTCTTAAATAAATTTCACTCTGAAGCAAAATGTTACTCTTTAACTAATCCCTACTCTGCAGTCTGCGACTATATCTTACTTTGCAACTAATCATTATTCTGTTACTAAGCCTTACTCTGAACCTGAACCTAACTCAACTAAACTTTACTCAGTAATAAATTTTACTCTGCAATTTACTGTGTACTGTGCAGTGTGCAGACGTATGGATATTTATTTTTCCTTTTCGATATCCCTTGGTGATTATACTCTGCAGAGATAAGTTTAATTGAGGATAGTCATATTAGATATCAAGATAAAGCGCTCTATTAATGATACTCCACAAAGGGGGGTCAAGAGTACCTTAAAAAAACTTTGATGTCACAAGCTTCGCTAGTCTCACTATATCAGTTTTATTAGAAGTTTGGCCTCCGCCTTGATCAGCACTAAATTTGTTTAAATTTAAAGTATCTGCATTACATTTATTCATGAGCCTTCCTTCGGGATTACTGGGATCAAAACTTATTAACTTTGTATGAAATAGCGATAATCTAGAAGGCTTGATCTCGATAATCACTAAGATTTTTAATGTAAGAGATAATTGATTGAACCCTCAATTTGAGTTCTCCTTGCAGGGTACGACTACCAAAGTTAAATAAATCCGTAAGACTGAACTAGATACGACCATAACTGGCCGGTTGATCCAGGGAATCATAACGCAAACGTTGTGACCTATCGTGTATCTTCTTCTACTAAACCTTCCTCTCCATCTTCAAGGGACTGTAAGCGTATTTTTAAGAGACCTTCTATTCCGATTCACATCGGTACCCTATAAACCTCTAACAGATTTTAGTTTAAAGGGTACCATTGTGAATTGGAAATGTCCCTCTTTCAATGAAAAGTCCAATAAAAATAACACTTACAGTCCCTTTAAGTACGAATTATCTGTTTTCACATCACTTAATGTATTTAGTATAAATAAGGTATAAATTTTTCACAGGTTGCAATTACCGTAACATAGAATTACTGGTAAAATTCAGATTGCTAAAAACAGAAAAAAATATTTTCACATATTTACAAGATGAATAGATAACTAGGCAACGGTACACCAGAAACTGATACATTTCATACATAATAGGCTTGATTAAACTATAAGAAAAAGTAAAAAAAAAAGTCGCCAGTTGTATTCGGCTATTTTAATCCGTCATTTTTTCTGAGAATTCTTGAAAATATCCCGAAGTTTGGTTTAGATTTCATTTTTTTCTACTAATTAATACCAGAAACCTCTATTTTTCTAATGAAAGTCAAGAAGCTCTATTTTTCTACTATTTGGCAAAAAATTTGTTTCGTTTAAGAAAATATAAACAGTTATAAGAAACATAATTGATATTTTAAAAAACATGCCGTTTTCCACACAACACATTTGAGTATATTGGATCCAAGATTTAGGCAGAACAGGCTTTTGAGGTCCGAAGCACTGACCAAGGGGTTTAACAATTGTGCAGTACAATACAGTACAAAGCAGTACACAAAATATAAATACTTCAGCAGGGGTTTATGTATAAAAAACGGTGGCAAAGTTTAAAAAACGAGCAAAACAGCGTAATTATTTAAGATATTTCCAGGAAAGATTCAATAGGTTTGTTGCACTCAGAGTAAACAAAAGCTGACTAATAGAAAAATTTTGATATTTTCCGCAATTTTTTTTCAATTGATTTGAGAACTAAGAATATGGACTGTCTTTGCATATTCAAGGTAACTATAGTAGGAAGCAAACAAAATATTTGGTTTGTTTGGTTTTTTGAAAATAGCGTTACACGACTTGAACCCGGTTTTACCGGTTACATTGTGCGTCTTGGCTCCGGGAACACGTGTCTAGGAGTACATCCCGACCCGGTGTCAAGTTCAAACTCAAATTTTTGATTTTCCGGAGAATCCGGGCATGATTTGTTGTCATGGTAGGTTGGAGAGTAGGGCTGGGCATCAGGGTAGGTCGGAGAGTAGGGCTGGGTAACGAGGTGGGTCGGAGAGTAAATAAGTGTATCCGGGTAGGTTGGAGAAGGTTGAGTATTCGGATATGTTATAGAGTATGGTTGAGTATCCAGGTGGGTTGGAGAGAAGGGTTGAGTATCTGGGTGGGTTGGAGAGTACGGGTGAGTATCTGGTGAGATCTGGTCTGGTGAATCTATAGTATCGGAGCAAGGCCGAGGATGGAGGAGGACTGAAACCTCGAGTTCGGTTCCAGTTTCTCCGGTTCTATGTTTTCTCCGGGTCCAGGACACGTTCTCGTAAGTGTTGATGTGAGACGAAGATCCTACCGTCTCCGGGTCCCTGTATCAGCTGGACCCTGTAGTTCCCACGGGTACCGAGTAGGGACCAGAACCATTAGATTTGGTGGACTGAACAGATTTACCAGACTAAAATAGAAGATCAATGTAAAACAAGTGAAAACTTTTTTCGAAACTTAAAACTTAGCTTCATCCAAACTTCCAAACCCCGGGTATTTAACAAAGTGCATATGGACTGGCACACTTAGTACAGGGTTACCTACAAAGGATGAGAATTTAAAGGCGACGTAGGACTCTTCAAGCGTAAATAAAAGGGACCCTCCATGCAAAAATGGCTGATTCACAACGGTACCCTTAGCTAAAGCTTTGTCTGATCATGTGGGAAATAAATATGAATGTTTTTAAGTTTTAAAACTAATCATTTTTATTCGTGGATTCTCTACAAAGGTGACTTAAAGGGACAGTAAAGGAAAAATGAAAGGGGGTATAGACTGAAAGCTAATCACTTTAGCTCTTGATCGCGACCCATGAAAGTTTTATCTGATGTTCCTGTCTCGAGAAATTGATATAAAACTGTGTTAAAATCATACGAAAGTTCATATATGTAAAATTTAGAAAATCTTAAACTTAAATCACGTGACCAGAACTATCACCAATGGCAGAGCAGTATACTGATCACGTGTCTCTGCCTGTATCACGTGACCACTTTACTGCACTGTCATTGGTGGATTTTCTGGTCAAGCAATTCGGACGTGTAAATAATATTATGAATTAAATCTATTAAAAATAGAAATAACAAATATAAAATTAGAATTGGAGTAAACCTAAGTAATAATTAGCTTTCTCGTGGATATTATCGTTTTCAGATTGGTTACTTATTTGCTGAATTTGATCTATTTAAACCCACTACTTTTATACAAAATTGCATATATATTAATTTTCGTATAAATTTGACACAGTTGTAAATCAATTTCTCGAGATAGGAACATCAGATAAAACTTTCATGGGTCGCGATCAAGAGCTAAAGTGATTAGCTTTCAGTCTATACCCCCTTTCATTTTTCCTTTACTGTCCCTTTAAGCAGGAAAACATAGGAATGATCAGAATTAAACACTTTTACAGTCCCTTGGCGTTCTGCCTTCAATACAGTTCATTAAAGGTTCATTAAATAGTTTGGCAATGAAAGAAGTAGGTTTACAGCTCCAGGGAAAGACTTAATAAATTTCGTAAAGTCGTCTATAAAGTCTTATCGTCTGTAAGAAACCCTGTCTAGCAAAGTACCGTCGTGTGTATGATTTAGGATGCAGATTGTAGAAACATATAGAAGCATATAGAAGCATATAGAAGCATATAGAAGCATGTAGAAGCATACTAAAATTACCAATCTTTAATCAATGCCTTTCTTATATCAAAATAAACAAAATATTTCCAGTAGAGAAACGGAGTTTTTGCCACAAACTCAAATTTTCTACTCCCTATATCTCTGCAACCTTATGGACTATTAGATATAACAGAATTCATAGTTTTAAATATGAAAGGTCTAAGACATCAAATGTAAAGATATGAGGATTAAAAAATTAAATTATGCGATGAATATGTTCTAAATCTTTATTTGATAATTTTCCTACTAAGTTACTCTCCTCTTGTATCATATCTTCTTATCAAGAGATTAGAGTTATAGAAACTTCATGTAAATTAAACTTTTAGATTTGTTATTTTTGTAAAACAAATCCGGCCATTTATGACGATTATTATAACTATTCTTGGTAGTTTAAATATTTTCCCTTTCCCTCCTTCACTCATGGAGGGGGGGGGGGGGGACATAATCTTAGGAAAACAAGAAAGGTTTGGTTAGTCTGTTTGGCCAGCAATAGCTAACATATTTACAAATATATAAACATGAGCGAAGAGCTTTATTATATAGATTTAGTCTTATGAAATGCACCGTTCATATTAAAGGAGCGTAGTTTCAAGTGACCCTAGATTTGATGATGGCATATTTACAACGACAGCCTTTAAATCTTAGTCTGAGATAAAACAAAATTAAAGATTTCTTTTTTGTTTTTCTATCTGAAATTGGAATTGTGGGTTATCTTCCCAGTGCTTTACGGATTTATGCAACCGAGAAGAAGAGGAAATGAACAGAATTCCCAATAGGTGTTCAGAAAAAATGTAAAGGGTCCTATTGTGTATTAATTGTGTGTTTATTAATGGGGTAAATTGGAAATTACAAATATAAGTCCCTTTAATGGAAAAATATAAAATGTACTTACTCTTGAAGTTCCAGTACCAAGGGTACCCATTGTACCCACCGGTACACTGTACTCGTACTCTTCTTCCTTATTCATGTACAACTCAACATAGTCAGCTATTGCTCGGTGTACAAACTCATACTAAATATGTACAATTGTACAACCAACTAAATTATCAGCCAAGTTCTGAATGAAAAGTTCTATAAATTCATGTACATTCATGTACATTGTACAATTAATGTACATGAAATTGTACATTTGAATATATTATCCAGAGGGCATGTTTTTATAATTTATCAAAAGCTTAAATGGGAATTTTTAATTCAGCTTTGGTCAAATAAATGCTTTTTTTCCCATCGCAAAATTAAAGTCTAAGTTAGAACTGTAATCTTTTCTACGTTAATACACGCATTTACAGGGTTACGTTAATGACGACCTAACACTTTTCTAAATTTAAGAAACTATAGGTTGAAATTTTTATTCTGTCTTAGAATGCTCATTTTATCAAAAAAACACAGTTGCAGGGAAACCAAAAATGTGAGAAAAAATTTCGCCTTTAAAGTCTTTCCCCCCCCCCCCTCTTCTCCCTTCTCATGTACTATAAATGACCGCTAACTAACAGTAGATAGATTAACCGACCTGGCAGGTAGGATTAACTTGCTTGATAAACTAGTTCGTCTCTAAACCAATGCCCCTCCCCGCCCTCATTACAAATGACCGATAGCTGAGCGCGGAGAAATCGACCGGCCCGGGGCAGATAGAATTAGTCTATCTGAACTCTTAAAGTTTTATTAACTATCTTGTTCCTCTACTGTACATATGGCGCTGACTTAGCACATATTTTTGAAAAATTTCAAGTGAAAAAAATATTTCTGAAGCGAGAAAATACTTAAGGTGTTCAGTCTAGCTGTATTGGCCTTATATATATATATATATATATATATATTTTTAAAAGATTTTGAGAATTTAATGAAGTAAATTACCATCTTCAACAAGTTTCCCAGATATCATATTCCATTCTTAGTTTTCATTATATTAATACTCTAAGTGCATTGATATTCCGTTAAGGAAGTGACTGGCTATGTAAAGTAGTTGAACTGAATATGCAGCGTTGTGGAAAATTTCTTTCGGATTCATTTAAAACATATTAAACTTTTTAAAGATCTGTAAATCCCGAGTTTGAGCGCAAATTTAACGTTCAAAACTCCTACTTTGGGGTTGGATACGTTTTCAGAATTAGCTTTTAAAAATTATTTAATAATTATAATAATTATTAAATTGTTACCTGAGTTAAGTCCTGAATCATCCCTTGTCTCTGAGCCCTGAGTTTCCTGACTCCAGTGAATACGTCACAGCGTGCCTCCTTCTTAATCTGCTGTACCAGAACAGACAAGACCACGTAGATGCTAGACCGGTAGGAACCATATCTATACAAACACGAAGTAAATGCTAGACCGGTAGGAACCATATCTATACAAACACCAAGTAGATAATAGACCGGTAGGAACCATATCTATACAAACACCAAGTAGATAATAGACCGGTAGGAACGATATCTATACAAACACCAAGTAGATACTAGACCGGTAGGAACCATAACAAAACAAACACTTCGTAGAAACCGTAGAACTGATCTAGTTTCTACCGTAGGAACCGTAGAAACTAGATCAGTAGTAACCATATCTTAACAAACGCAACGTAGATTCTAGACCGGTAGGAACCATATCTAACTAAAAATTTTATCATAAATTTGAAAATGATCAATTTTCAGATATAAAACAAGGATATTTCCATCATTTATGCGTACACAAAAGCTTAGAGGTCTTTAAATGAGATGTCATTTAAAAATTACGTAAACAGTTCCTTTAAAAGGAGCGAGGGTCACTTTAATCTACCTTAAAACAACAATTCCTTAAATAATTACAAAAGAATTATCATGCTTTTACGTCGTGAAGAAATAACTTAAACATTTATATCTTTAAATTTTAAAATCTTTTTATGACACAACCTTCCATTATCTTTCATTCGAATACAACAAGGGGTATTAAATGCCGTACAAAATAAAATTAGAAATGTTTAAAATACTAGGCTTTTAATTGTGACTTTATTTGTGAGCATCTTCTCTTTGTACAGTATAAAACAAAAACAAAAAAGTTTGCGGATTTCATAATATTTTTCGCGCATTTTCAAAATTTTTCAATAATAAAAAACTTTTAAACACAAATTTTTAAAATTTTGATTATTCCTAAACCTTCCCTGGGGTCACGCGAAATCCCGCACAAAATTTGAGCCCGATCGGTTCAGCCGTTTTGACGTTTATTGGATACAAACAAACAGACAGACAAGCCAAATTTATATATAGATAAATAGATAAATTCAAAACCAGAGGCCAAACTAAATAAAGAAATTAAGTAAAAAACCAGAAGTTGAAAGAGGAAATTAAAATTGGAAAAAAATGAATATTATTTTCTGAAAATTAGAATGCCAAAGAAAATAATTGAAATATATAATTTTGCAATTGTTGTGATAATATCCTGTCTTTAATCTGTTATCAAGTACGCGGCCGTGTAAGAGTATTTGAAACATATTGAGATAATGAACAAACCTAACTATTGGATCACATTATAACACATCAACTAAAATGCTTTTATGCAAAATACATTTTTTATCAAAATAAACCATCGAAATAATAACAAGTTTTTTTCTCACTATTTACAAAATTGAATTTTTTTTAAATAATATACAAAATTGACGACATTCTACCGAAATTTAGACAAACGCTTGTTCTTGATGAACATTATTTAGTCGACAGCTAGACTTTTATCTCTTGAAAATGAACTGAAAACAAATTGCCCGTGAAAATTATATTTTCCATTAATTAAAATTTAAAGATTAGCTATTTTTTCCTCTGTTTTATAGCTACTCCTAGGACTGAGTTTATCAGTAATATGAAATTATGAAATTATGAAAATATAAAAATCTAATATTTCTACCCGGAGTTCAAGTTAAATCCTCTAACTAGGCACAATTATAAAACTGAATCCAAATCATTTACAAATCTTGCTCAAAAAAAACAAATTGATTACAATAATCAATTACAAATTACTATAACTGATTAATTACAATTAATGATCAATTCGAATTAAGTAATTAATTAATTATTACCAATCCTGATCAATTCCAAAATTAATTAAAAATACAAATCAATTACCTATCTTTATCATTTACCATCAATTTCAAATCATTATTAATTAAAATACATATCATTTACCAATTTAATCAATTACAAATTATAATCCTAACTCAGACCTAAGCTAAAAATTTCATATTAAAAATTGATATCCGTAATAAAACCTCCCACCCCTATAATAAGTGTTTCCCACCTTGCTTTCCTTTACAAACACATTTACTCTAGAGCTTTAGTATTGATATGTTAGAAGACTGAAGTGACGTATTTTTCGGACACTTGTTGCCTTAAATCAATAATCTAGCTTAGTAGCTTAGGAACTTGACAGTTTTTAGTATAAACATAAACCTACTGTACTATAGACTAATACTAAACTACAATTCAATGCAGGACAGTAGTACTTTATAATTTAGGTAATGACAAAAATTCAATTAATGATAATAATAAAGATGATAATGAAAATAATGTTAATGATAATAATGATAAAGATAGTGATAGTGTGAGTGAGTGATAGTGATAATCATAATCATAATCATAATCATAATCATAATCATAATCGTAATCATAATCGTAATCATAATCATAATCATAATCATAATCATAATCATAATCATAATCATAATCATCATAATTATAATCACAATCACAATCATTATCATTATCATAATCATATCATAATGCTACTTTTAGTGTGTTAAGATTTACGGATTTACGGGCAGTGGGCAGTGTTATGCAGTGCACAGTATGAAGTTTACAAACGTCACACACACATCAATGTTGTGCAGCTGAATTGGGTGTGTGTAAGAAAGTTAAGAATTGAGCGAAAACATATGTTTTAGCTGGGAAAATATACGTGTGTAGTAGATACTAGTGAGGCTAGGAGAAGGAGGGGAGGGAGGATGTATTTAGAACACATACAAAACATTTTATTTTTCAAACTTCTTTATGAAGCCATTTATAAAAATGTGATTTTTTGTGAACAAGTTTAAAATACTATTTCCTTTCGTTTCTTAAGAAAATTGGTGTCCCAATAAACATGGATATTAAAAGTCTTTTATATAAATGACAATTTTTGTAAAATGTGATTGTGAACATTTGCACCTTCAAAGTTGACGGAGATTAAAGATTTAAATAAATTAAATTAAAATGGTCTTACATCCAATATCTTCGTCATTTTATAAGATGCAATGAAGAATGACAACTTTTTGATTTTAAATCCACATGTCTATATTGGGTCACCGTGTATATAATGATTTTCTAATTGATCTCATATTATTGAGTAAAAAACAATACTATTTTTCCTCTCTTCTCATTTTTATAGAACAAATAATGGGTAAATTTCAAAAATTAATAATTCCAATAAAAAACTTGTTTTTTTTTCTTCTTCTTATAAAAATAAATAAATAAAAATTGATTAATTTCAAACTTTCAAGATTGTAAATTAAAAGAAAAATTATCTGAACTTCTTAAATAAACATCTAGGGAAAATAACTATTCGATAATATTTCAAATGTTCAAAGATTTTGGTGATACGAGTCTGCCCTAAATATACATGATACACATCCTTGGAACAATTGATAAAAGGTTAACAACTTTATATAATGCAAAGTTCTCTCAATTTATCATTTTTAGCTCAACTTACAATATTTTAGAATCAGTAGCAAAAATTCTAACTTGGCCTAGATTTAACTTCAAAGCATCCTTGACTCATAATTCATAATTGAATAATTACAGGCATCTGCTTCAAACATTGTTCCTTTCAGTTTCAAATCAGTCATTATTAGCATGCAGTTTTCTTTTAAGACATTAAAAAGTTTCAGTTTTGATAAAAGATCATTAGCGTTGTTTGAGAGGGTTGCAAGTGTTTCTATAGGCCTTGTTCAGGAGGCTACCTAGTTCATTGTGCAGTTTTAGACAATTTCTTTTATCAATAAAAGTGATTTTTCTTCGCCGTTGTAATCTTAAGTGTACCTCGATTTAAAAGAGAAGAATGTCCAATTCACAATGGTACCTTTAAAGTCTTAATCTTATAAATAACTAGCTTGGGAACCCGGCGCTGCCCAGGATACTTATAATTAATCCCGCCGTTTACCCGCACGTGGTCAATTTTACCGGGAAACTAATTTTACGCTGTAAAAATTGACCAACTCATTTTATAATCTCCAAACCAGACTAAGAACATTCCCATTGTTCTTCAGAGTACCCAAATCAAAATTTGAGGCAAATCGGTCAAGGGGTTCCCGAGATATGATCGGACAAACCAACAAACAAACGACACATACAAACAGAGATTACAACTTAATATATATAGATGTAGAAGAAAAAGTCAATTGTCTGGTTAGAAAGGTGTATGATTCTGATAGTTTATGAAGGTTTGTTTACATGTCCCATTAAGATAAGTTAACAATAATTATAATGAAAATTCCTAAATATCTTTGTTGATTGCAATTCATTATATATAATGCAGGTTCAAGTCATTTTTAGCTTTCAATTTATCACTACAGGACAAAATTGTCGAAATAACCCAAACCAAATATATTCTTTATTTACAGATAAGATGTCGGCTAGTGAGTTTAAACTTTCAACGCTAGAAATGCTATTTCGAAGCTCACTTGAAGATCCAGACATTAGGGAGGTTAAAAAAAATGTAAAATTGTTTTAGATTTTCAAAGCTAGTTTGATATTGAAATATGTACATATAAATTATACAAAAAAGATGAATACATAATATTTTTTCTTTGATCTTTAGTCTGAAAGATTATGTGGATGGTTATGAGCAGGTATGAATTTCATAAATAAAAATGTCTTTGACACAAATGCAACGTCATGTGAAATTTAATACTGTTTCTAATCTCCCCGCCACCTGGGCTGAACAAACATATAGAGTACATTTTGTAAACAATTTGTTTTATCAGAGTAAATAATCGTCCATTAATTTATACTCATCCATTTAAATACTGAGGTTATCAATCAATAAATCAATAAAAAAATACGATTAAAATCATTTGAAAAATCAAACAGATCAATCTCAAAACAACAAAACAACCAATGAATTTGCAAGCCAAACAATCTTTTTCCTTATTCTCATGTTAACAAGAAAATTGATAGTTGTCTAAATAGATAGAAAAATAATTGATTAAATCGATCGAGCTCTAACAGATTAAACCAAAATCAATCAATATTTGTGTATTTGGATCTTACAAATGACACCAAATTTAATGGATATTTGTCTTTAGATAGATCAAATAAATCACATCACAATCAATCGATCGATTTTTATCCTGATAGGTCAAATAGATCAAACCAAGAAATCAAATATATCACACAGAAATAAAATATTATTTGTGTAGGTTTACAAGTTTTTGAGCTTGCTTGGAACTCTGTTCGGATGGGTTGGGGCTGATGTTCAGGTAGAGTACGGAGGTCCCCAAAAATATCGGACCATTGTTCTGAATTTTTTATCGTCTTTGATCTACGCCACTTTTTTACGCAAATAAAATAATAGTTGTATTCCTGACGGAACTCATGAGAACTTTTTAATATGCTTTTGATATTTATTGATAATTGAAAATCAAAGACGATCTTTAAATCCTATCTAAATTCTAACGTTTACTGGGACCAACTGTACAAACTTCAATCTGAAGAAGAAAATGTTCACATTTTTTGAGGAGCTGAAGGAAAAGTGTATTCTGTATTTAACGCTATTTAAGAAAAAAAAATATTTTTTTTATTTTAAGGTTTTTTTTAATGAAACTTTATTTTAGGTAAAGGTTGACAACATAAGGAAGCATATGGTAGGAGAGAAATCCCAGCACTACACTACAGTCAGAGCTATGATTGAGTACGAGGTATTCTTTTATCAAAATTATTTTTTTCGAATATTTTTGAATATTCGTGAAAATTATGTTCTTTGTATCTGCACTTATTTTAGTTGTAAAGGATGTGTCAATTAAGCCAAGAAAGGGTGCCATAACCTATTCCAATATACTTTTTTTTTGAAAAAAAATAATACCTTAAAAAGTAAAAGACAAAGAAATTATGTCTTTGCCACAAACTCTGTTTTTCTAATTACTATATCTACAATGTCGAAGACTAAGCTTAGATATTTCAAACTATGACTTCTGTTAGATTAGATAATTTTCGTTTGAAATTTAAAAGGTTGCAAAGATATAGGGATGAGAAATTTTGACTTTGTGACAACTACTAAATTCCTTTGGTCGTTTTTTTCACTTGTTTTTAAAAAAGCTAATTTGTTTATTTACCACGTTTTTTGGATGATTGTTTTACAGTTACAGTTGTGAATTGACTATGGAAATCTTGCTTACCCTGTTCGCGTAAAATACACGGCAAATCATATAGTAAATTGTTGATAATAAAAAATCAATACAATATTTACTTTATCCATTTTATGGCATAGTTCAATGAATAGATTTAAGATGCTTATTAGAGGGGGGTGTTTAACGTAAAAATACATTATTATCATTATTATTAATATTTAGAATGAAAGTGGATTAATCTTGTGGAAGAAAACAAGCGATTTAAGCGGAAGCAGAAACCTTCTTATTCTACACAGAGCGCTGCAGTATGTTGTTGCTTTCCTTGCCAAATTAGGTATAAAAAAAAACAATAACAAACAATGTTGCGCCTTAATAATAAACAACATGGCGTCTTCAATAAAAAAATCTCAATAATTAACAATATGGCGTCATCTATAATAAACAATATGGCGTCCTCAATAATTCAAAATATAGTGTTCTTTCTAATAAACAGTAATGCATCCTCTATATTAAACAATATAGCATCCTTAAACAGTATTGGATAGTTTTTATAAAAATCTATTTTTTTCTAGAAAATATTGATGAAGAGGAGAAGTGCACCAATATTTCACGAGAAGCATACGAGTCAACACTAATGAAATATCATCCTTGGGTGGTTCAGGTATGCCNAAATAAAATACATCAATTCTGGCGTCAAAATACAAAAATATCAAATATTTCCATTTTACTCGTTTCTATTAAAGATAGTGTGATCTGTCCCAATATTTAATAATCAAATGAAAGATTGAAACTTTTATAGTAAAGAAATTCGTGGGGGATTAAATCAAAACTTTTTAATTTAAAACATTGACATATTGTTCAAAAATCAATTTGGTAAAGAGAAATTAGTTACTGTGATTAGGGAAAGAGTTCTCTCAATACCTCTTCAAAACTTTGCGATTCATGTTCCTATTTGTTCAGAAAGCTGCCAAGGTTGCGATGAACCTCCTCCCGACTAAGAAAGCTCTAGTCTTGAAAATTGCTCCTTCAGGGGAACAAGAGGAGATAAACAAAGCTTACGCAGAATTCCCGAAGTAATTTTTATCTTAATTTTTTTTTAAGAAATCCCAATTGCTGACAGTATTTTAGTTTAGGCTCGTGAGGGTTTTCATGTCAAAAATGATTTTTTTCATTTAATTAAAGATGGAGTCGAACCCTGTGTTTGAAGAGATCTTTTTAAAGGACAATGCTTTTTCTGCATTGTTTGCCAAAAATTCAAAAATTTATTAATTGCGTTTTTGAAACTTATTTTATCCAAGTGTATGCTTAATTGTAAATATTGGGGATAACATTTTTAAACAATTTCATTATTTAGCGTTGATGAGATTTAACTACATTTGCAAAAGTTTCCGTTTTTTCTTTTCAGTTTTTAAACATAAATTGAAAAATAATTTCTATTATTTGCAGTGCCGTGTCGAGTATGGAAAGAGCGTATGATGTAATTGATAAACTAATAGAACAATATAACCTACAATCTCTTAAAGTCCAATAAATTATTTAACATTTATAAATAATTTTTAATGAGGGTTAGATTAGAGATAATATATGAGTAGAAAACATTTTTTTAACCTATCAGCTTGTCTTTCTGTTTTTATCCAATTTATATTTGAGTTCCGAGTTTTCTTTTCATTAGTTGAAAATATTTTTCTTACTTTATTTTCTTTCAGACATTGTGCAAATTAAGCAATGAAAATTATAATAAAACATATTTTGCTTTTTTCTCCCTTTCCAAATATTGTCTCTTCTTAGAAAGAGAATTGAATTTGGTACACAATGCTAGGTACACAGTAAACGATATAAGGTACTCAGTATTCGATTAAGGTAAACAGTACAATATACATGGTACACGGTACACGATACAAGGAACACAGTACACGATACATGGTACACCGTACACGATACAAGGAACACAGTACACGATACATGTTACACCGTACACAATACAAGGAACACAGTACAAGATACAAGGTATACAGTACAAGATACAAGGTACACAGTACACGATACAAGGAACACAGTACACGATACATGGTACACCGTACACGATACAAGGAACACAGTACAAGATACAAGGAACACAGTACACAATTAAGGTATACAGGTCACGATTAAGGTATACCGTACATTGATCCCATTACACAGTAGAGCAAAACTAAGTGAATCAACTAACCTGCAGTGTACAGCTATGGGTCCAGTAAGACTAGCTTGCTCCTGGTGAGCAAGAGCATGCTCTGTAAGACCAAGAAGACCATGAGTAGAACTAGGAACTGTATCCTCTTCACCTCCAGGCCATTCAGTGTAATGAAAATGGGTCAGCTGAACCTCTTCAAACGACTGAAAATAAAAGATATTTTTAAATCCCGAACTCAATCATTTTTCATTATTGCAATTGTTCAAAAATGTTCCAGTTCAGTTACAAATACAACATACTTTTATTTCATAATTAGAGGATAAAAATGATGACGAGAATTCCACTGATTTCTGGTTCTCGCTATACATCGTAAAAATCATTAAACGTTTAAAAGAAAATTATTCAGAAAGTATAAAAGGAAGAAAAACTTAAGTTTGGGGGTAAACTGATCAGAGAGGTTAAATCTAAACATTACAAGGCATTTTCAATCCGCGGTGCTCTGTCCCTTTTCCTACCTTTTTATTGTAAACAGTGAACTCCCTCTTGATGTATGCGACCCTGTTTTCCTGTGCAGTGTGTGTGACGACAATGTACCCGAACTCCCTTGTCTTCTCCTCCTGGTCCGGCCAGTACACCCAACACTCACCGACACTACTCAGTACTACCATGGTAGACACGTTGTGTTCTACAACCATACGCCAGAAATCCATAACAGTTTCCTTAAATAATTCAAATAAATATCTTTAAATACCCTTCCAGGCCTAAAACGAGGAAGAATCCCATTGGCGTGCCTCCCCTTGTTCCAAAAAAACTTACTAACTAAAAAAAGCTCAAATCTTCAAATAAGTTTGACAACAAGTATATATATTTTTAAAAATTACCCCAATCCCCATAACCTAATAATCACTAAATATCATCCCGACTTTATTCTATGTTGATCATTTCGACTAATATTATAAAATTTTAAACGTTGTCTTAACAAATGAAAAAAAAATATCAAGTCTTTATCCTTACTAAAATCTAAGATGATCAGCCCGACCAAACTATCAAGTTAAACATGTATATAGAAATACAAAATATTCATCCAGACTTAAAATTTTAACCATCATCGAAACTAACTAGAGCTAATCCTGACTAAAATCTTAGTTAATCATCCCGACTTAAAATGTCAAGTTAACCATAGAAATACAAGAAGCTTATCTAGACTAAAATTAATGGTATAATCGAGACTTCTACTATCAAGTTTTGAAATAACTGTCTAACCTAATAACAACTAACCAAGAGTTCTCCCAGACTAAAACTTGATCATCGAGACTAATAATTACCTGTAGAGGATCCTGACTAATGATGAAAGATTCATCGTTATGATATCCCTCAATAAATGATGCGTTGATATAAGTCGAGTGCGGTCTAATAAAACATTTACATTAAATACAATTAATTTTAATCGGCGAAATATGTTTTTTTTTAGAGAAATTGGCAGTTTAGAGTTCTTGATTTGGATCTGGAATCCTTCTATTCGGATCCAGCTAATCAATATCTATATATAAATTTAGCTTGTCTGTTTGACTGTCTGTTTGTTTGTATCCAATAAACGTCAAAACGGGTGAACCGATCGGGCCCAAATTTTTTGTGGGACATCACGTGACCACAGGGAAGGTTTATGAATGATAAAAATTAAAAAAATGTGTTTTAAAGGTTTTTAATTTTGTAAAAAAATTTAAATTCTTGAAAATCCGCGAATTTTTTTTTTTCTTTGTTTTAAAATGTAAACAAAAAGAACGTGTTCACAATTTAAATAGATGATGGGCGCGAAGCGCCCTAAAAGCCTAGTCTATATATAAATTTGGCTTGTCTGTCTGTTTGTCTGTTTGTTTGTATCCAATAAACGTCAAAACGGCTGAACCGATCGGGCCCAAATTTTGTGTGGGACATCACGTGACCACAGGGAAGGTTTATGAATGATAAAAATTAAAAAAATGTGTTTTAAAGGTTTCTGATTTTGTAAAAAAAATTAAATTCTTGAAAATCCGCGAATTTTTTTTAAAAATCCGCAAAATTTTCTTCTTCTTTGTTTTAAAATGTAAACAAAAAGAACATGTTCACAATTTAAATAGAAGATGGGCGCGAAGCGCCCTAAAAGCCTAGTTCCTTAAAATTTGGCTAATATTTCCAAAAATTTCTTCTTGTATTTCGTTATTTTTTATGCAGAAACTTGATTATACGTTCAATGACTAGGAAATGTTTTATGATATCTTATTGATCAGAAACCAATTTAATTAGAAATTGAATTTGAAAAACTCCATGTGAAGTGTTACTTAAAATTGTGTTATTATATATTCCATTACAAATCAAATATAATATTTTTTCTTATTTAATTTAAGAAACTTGTGATGCTTATGCAACTGCCGAGATCAATAGAAAACTTTATCTTACGTTCAAATGAAACATTAACGAACTTTGAACCTTAGTCACAACATAACAAATCATCTGTTTAAATCTCAACTTTCCGCTATAGAATGTATTAAAAACTTTCTTAAAAATTTCTCTTTATGGTTCATCAAGTTTTAGCATAAAAATAAGCGAGAAAAATAAAAGTAAATCTTTGAGAAACGGTCATAGCTTGGATCCAGATCCAGGTCAATTATATTTTCATAGCCTGGGTTCAGGATCTGTATCAAAACGAAATAGATCCCTTGGCACTGATTGAAATATATAATTTACTCCGACTCCCTCCCTTTAAAGGGATGACCGGCAATGCGGGATTTTTAAGCAGAAATTGGAAATTAAAGTCTAGTCCACCAAACAATAATTTAATAACATCGTTGGTCTCGTTAAAAACACCTAATTTTTGTTTTAAACCTTTGAAATCCTTCTTGTCTAGAACTCCCTTTAGAAGAGCTAGCTTCTAATCAGTGCTTCGGATCCATTTAATTTTGATGCAGATCCGGATAATTTTTTTTCTCGCATATTCTTATCCTAAAACTTGATGAACCCTTCAGAAATGAGGAAAATCTTATAATCTCCCTTTTTCAAAAATTCAGATTTAGGGTTTAGGAGTAAAAAAGTTTTTTTTGCAGTTTTTGGTCGATATTTTACCCATTGGATCCGGATCCGTGGATCCGCATATTTTTGGGGATCCGGATCATAAGCACTGCTTCTAATATATTGTAAATTGTAAAATGTAAAGTGTTCCTGGCTCCGTCTGGTGTAAGGATAACCCTGTTCCTATCATAAGGAACAATACCATCGTTCCCGTTTTTAGTTCTATTCTCAGGGTTAGTAGCTACAGACAACGCCTAAAAACAAATAATGGAATTTTTAGGGAGAGGCAAAAAAAAAATTGGAAAAGTTATCTAAACTCGGATTCTTAAAGGGACTGTAAGCATAATTTTAAGGGACTCCTAATGAAAAGCGGCAATACCCGATTCACAACAGTACACTTAATACCTTCGATTGATCAGTGTTGTCGGACGAGGAAGGGAACCCCCGGACGCCATGAGCCTCTTCTATGAAGACACGAACCTCTCAAATTTGCTAGGCAGACCGAGCCTCCACTATGCAGACCAAGCCTCCGCTCCTCTGTTATGCAGTGAACGAGCCTCCACAATACAGAACAGCTTTTTAAAATATTGGTTTTAATGTGTAATAAAAAATTATAACAATTTTTTTTGTCGTAGTGTCATAAGAATTTTACTAAAGATTGGATTTATTGATTGATTGTCATGATCAAAAACATATATGGACTCATAAAGTGGTTTTTAAGATTTATACTAAAACTTTAAAAATTTCTTACGCAGAAAGGAAACTATTTGGAGAAATATTTTAAAGTAAATTTAGTTTGTATTGTTGCAATCTTCGATTAAACAATACCTCTTTTTTGAAAATGTTAAGATTTAGATAAATTATACTAATTTTCTAGATTTAATTTGAACTACAAAAAAAGGTATTACTTAAATCAAAGATTTTAAAAGATGAAATGAAATTTAATTCAAATCTTTTTCTCGAAATATTTTTCTTTTCATGTAAAGAATGTTTAAAGTTTATTATACCACTTTATTAGTCATAAGTTGGAACTATTTATAATAATTGATAAATACATCTCATCTTTGAGAAAATTCTTATGCCACTATGTCAAAAAATAATTGTTAATTCTTATGCCACTATGTCAAAAAATAATTGTTAATTCTTATGCCACTATGTCAAAAAATAATTGTTAATTCTTATGCCACTATGTCAAAAAATAATTGTTAATTCTTATGCCACTATGTCAAAAAATAATTGTTAATTCTTATGCCACTATGTCAAAAAATAATTGTTAATTCNGCATAGGGGAGGCTTGGTCTGCATAGTGGAGGCTCGGTCTGCCTAGCAAATCTGGGAGGCTCGTGTCTGCTTAGCGGAGACTCATGGCGTCCGGGGGTTCCCTAACTCGTCGGACTTATTCTCATTAGTCTACAAAAACGTGTTTAATTGTTGAAGAATTTGTTTTTAAGCTGATATAAGCTTTAAAAAAATTTATATTCACTTCCTAAAATTGCAGAAAATAAATATTTTCTTTCGAATTTTTGAAAACCGTTTTTAATGTAAAATATTCGGTTACGTCAAGTTACACTATAGCACATTAGCTGAGTTAAGGTCAAACTTTACACCACGTAAACCGCGTTTTAAAGGGATTCAATGGTTTTCAAAGATATTTAAACAAAGAACTCTCTTTACTCGATGTACGTACAAAGATTGACAGGGTACCGTTGTAAATCGGGCATTGCCCTATTTGATTGGAGAGTCACTTGAAGTTGCGCTTAACGTCCCTTTGAATAGGCTTAATTAATGAAGTTTTGCCCAATAAAAATCGGTTCTTCTTTATTCCTCACAATAACAATAACTCATGTCATTCTTTCAAATATTTGCAATTCTGGCTCATTTTTTACCGTTTTTCCACATCCTTTCTTTTTTCAGCACTAGTGGTTTAAGGGAAATTTAAACAAATCGATACTGATTGTTGCAGTACACAAATAAATTAAATAAATACCTTTCTATCGTCAACAACCATTGAAAGTTTTTCAAACTGTTTCTTCAATCCATCCTCTTCCTGGGCCAGCTGAACCCAGCTCTCCTACAACCCGATATATCCAGTTCAAATTCACGGCATTACGGAGAAAAAATATTTTAGAAGGTGGAAGGGGGGGGGAGTTGTGAACTGAAAAACATCAGAATTAAAATTTCTTCTACCTTTAACCTTTTCACCAATAAGTTCAGAAAGAAATAGTAAATTAGTTAAGAAATTGTACAATGTATATGTGATTGTACAGCAATAATGTACTGTATGCTCAAGATTTTTGTACATAAACCTTCATGTAAGAGATGAATCTACAATGTGTTTAGGACATATGATTTCCTTGAGTTTGCTGGCTTCGCATTCTGTATCCCCAAACTGTGAGTATTCCATGATAGCCCTAAATATAAAAATAAATTGTAAAATATTGCTTTATATTCCTCAAAATAGTTTCTAAAATGGTACTTAAGAATTTTACAAATATTGCAGTACAAGCTTAAAAATGTTACAAATGGTTGAAAAAGTTTTAAAATCATTGGAGTTTCTGGGTAATATTAGCCTTAAAATTTCGCGGAAATATATATTTGGGTTGTCTTTAAATCATTGAGAAAACAGTTAGGTATAATCTAACACTGATCTTGGACAGAAAACTGCACAAGCCTAATTAATTCATAAAATCGTTACCCGAAATGTTTATAATTCACATATTCTTACGATTATCATTTTCTGAAAATATTCCAAATTTTTTTTAAATGAATAAAATATACCTGTAAACAAACTGATATTGTTTAACACTTTGAACCAGATAATTCCTCTGTCGTCGTAGATCTGACACTGTTTGAAATATAGAGATACTTCCCTCCTCATCCAGATTCTACATTATATATGATATAGATACTTCCCTCCTCATCCAGATTCTACATTATATATATGATATAAATACTTCCCTCCTCATCCAGATTCTACAATATATATAATATATAGATACTTCCCTCCTCATCCAGATTCTACATTATATATATGATATAGATACTTCCCTCCTCATCCAGATTGTACATTATATATATTATCCAGATTCTACAATATATATATTATATAGATACTTCCTCCTCATCCAGATTCTACAATATATATTTATGGAGATGGAACTCTCGTCCATCAGATTCTACTATATATAAATATAGAGATACTACCCTACTTATCAATATTCTACAATATATAATTTATAAATATCAATAAATCCTCCAAATATTTCTATTCTTTAATCCTAACAATTGGTTCCTATAGAAAAAAAGTTTTATAGTAAATTAAAGAAAAAATTGTATAAAAAAGGTTTTTCGTAAAAAATATGGTTGCCAATATTACTAAAATATAATGGGCTCTTTTTATTTAGAGATGTCATAAAAAAATTTTGTTTTTGTGACTCACAAAAATGTCTATGCCAATTAAAAACAAATTTATCGGCATTACTAAATAAAAGAAAGATCCTGTGGATCTTCAAATGGTTATCACTTTATAAAAGAAAAGCTGCATTTTTAATTCAAATCAATTAATTAAACGATTGTTTATTAACGGACCTGTATCAAACTGTCAATAGCAATGAGTGTGCCAGACCTTCCCACCCCTGCACTACAGTGGACTAGAATAGGACTAGAACCCGACCACGCTTCATTTATTCTCTTCACAAACTTCAACATCCCAGGGGCGTGCTCAGGGGCGTTAAAATCCTTCCACTGGAGGTAGTGGTGCTGATAGATTGTCCGAGATTTACTGCCGTGAACCGAGAGTGTGAGTTCGCGGATTACAAAGTCCGAATATCGTTTCTCCTCGACGAATCCAACGGTGACCTGGCCGAAGACGGAGTTCCCGGCCCCGGGCCAATACTGCGCGCACTTGATCCTGTTGTACTCCTCCAAGTTAGTCAACATGATGATAATCTCCACCCCCTGCTCGTGGATCATCCTCCAGAAGTCCTCCAGGGTTGAGATGAGAGGGCCCTGTGTGCAAATCCATTTCTTACGCTCCTTATACCCCACTACAAAGTTAGCATTGATATAATCTGATCCGTCGACATCATCCGTAGCTGATAGTTTAACCCTGGTCTGATCATAAGCCTTGATATCCGGATACCTGTTCTTCGGTTTATTGCAGGGTAGATCACACGCCTGTGTAGTTCGGTCGTTATAACTCTCCGGCAGGCTCTCAAACTCGCTCTGGAACCCGTAGTCGCTGTCCTTGTGGCGCTCTAGGTAGGCTGCTACCATCCCTGACTTATCTATCGGCGGCAAGTCAGGGGTTGCAAAGTTCTCTTGTGTCAGCAGAAACTGTGAATGTCCTACGCCTCTAAGTGTTGAGCAGAAGTGTCGGAAAGTATGTTTAAGATCCATTTCAACACCTTGTTGGGTTGCAACCTGCTTTGAGTATCTTCTAAGTATAAATAAGACCATGAGAAGGATTAGAGCAACAAGAACCAACCCTGCCAATACACCCAGTACCGAGACTAGGACGGTATTGACTTTAACAGGTTCGGAGTCGATTCCTGGTTTTCTAGAAACCATGTACGCAGAACGTCCAACTCCACCGCCGACGATAACAACCTCGATAAAGGCGGTGTAGTTGTTGGCCGCGTCGAGGACACCATCCTCAATAATTGCAGCTTCGGACACATCCGGGTTGGTAAACCTCTTGTGTATATCCCGGCTGTAAGGATGGCATTCAGGGCAGTTTCCTAATCCTAGTGCAGCCGTGTTCTTTCCGTCTCCGACATACACGTCCCGACCCATATAGATTGGAGATATAACCTCAGCTAGATACGCTCCCCAACCCTGGTCTGTATGAGCCGCAGCGTAGTTGGTCAGTTTGAGCTTCCCAGGATCAGTTGGCAGGTTGGATATACTTTCTCCGGTCTTGAGTTTAACCATAACCACCCGGATACAACAGATCCCTCCGTTACGTCCTGACAGCTTTGGAATTGAGAGTTTGAAGAGGTTCTTCTCCTCCTTTTCCTCTGCAGTCCAACTAAACCTGTTGAGTTCAGGTTCCAGAGGAGCTCTAGGTTTCATGTTACATGCATCCGAGCTCCAGGCTCCACACTCTTTACTACCAGTCACAGCACAAACCTGAATACAGAGCCAGGATTTATTAATTTAAAAACAAACAAAAAAAAATCAAGGGTACTACCAAAGCAGTTACTTTTTGTCCAAAAACTCCTATTTTTCCTCTTAAAAGTCCGTTATTTTCCCAAATTCAGCGAATTCAACTCTAAAACTGTGACATCTGTAGAATAAGAAATTATTTTAAAAAAGGGAAAATTCATTTTTCAAGAAAATAATTACCCCTGTATTTTTTTTGTCATAGTCATTAAAAATTTAATTGCTGTTTACTTTATTATTCATGTTGCTTTCATTCTAAATGTTTCAAAAGTCTTGATCTGAAATTTAATCGTTCTTAGGGTAGCATTTTCTATTATTACTAAGAAACAATTTAAAATATACGATTTCCTTCTTTAAATACATTTCATTTACCAAAAAACACTAAATTAAACAAAATATGTAATAAATACACAATATAACAATAATGTATACAATATCCAAACAAATATAGATGATTTTGTAAATTTGAATGTTTCACTGCATTCAATTCTAAGATATCACTAAGAAAATAGATAAAATCTTTAAAAATCCCGGATTCCCAGTCCCACCCAACCCTAACCTTCCGTCCTTATACAACGCAGTATTGACAATGATTTTCTATTTATCTACTCACGGGGTCCACAGTTCTCATATTAATTCAGACCATAAATATACCTTGACACTATAGTTAGTATTTGGATCCAGGAAATCAAATCTTGTCATCCTCAAGGTCGCATTTCCCGCTGCGTCCTCCGTCTTGGTCTGAGGCGAGGTCGAGATCACAGTCTTCTTCCCGTTCTCGTCCTGGAACCTCGAGCTTCCCGTCAGCTCTACATTGTAGAACTCAATCACTCCGTTAGGTTCAAGAGGAGGCTGCCATCTTACATCAACCCAGTTCATATTGGAGATGTTATCGGACCGACAACTCATCCGAACATCGGCCGGCGGACCGGACTTTCCGTCATAGGTTGTTCCTGACATAACTTCACTTGGGGAGGAACACTCCATGCTGTACTCGTTGCAGGCGGAGACAGTGAACTCGTAGGTTGTAGCGGAGTCTAGGTTACTCCAAAGATGGAGAGGATATGGCTGTTTATGAATAACTTCGGAGATAAACTCTCCGCTTCCCTTGGTTGCTCTGTAGAAATGAATATGTTTTGCAACCTTCTCGGGTGGGTCGTTCCATCCGACAGAGATGGAGTTCTTAGTTATCCCCTTGATGGAGATTTCAGGGATGAATTCAGGATCAAAGTCCAGGGTTTTAACCTGCTCCGGATACAGGTAGAATTCTCCCGTCCCGATCTCGTTGCTGGCGGCCAGCTTGATTTGGTAGCTTTTATCCGCGGTCAGGTTGGACATTAGAAAACTAGTGCTCTCAGGGTCTATCTCAGAAACCTGATGATACTCCCAGGCATTCTCCCCCTCCTCCCTAAAGTGGAGAAAATATTGACGGACCGGCAGGTTCCAGCTGGTTACAGTCCAGTTCAGGTAAAGTTTACTAGAGGTCACTGGAATAATAGTTTCTACAACCAGCTCAGGGGTATCAAACACCAACGCGGATACAAAAGCTGTGTCCGAGTTATGCGCATTTTCTCCATAGCAGATGTAGGTCCCGTTGTCGTAGTGGCTGAGATTGATGATTTTGAGAAGGGATTTAACGGTTTTATCCGAGGAGTAGTCCTCAGTGATCTCGTACTTGAGCTGGTTCTCCCTCACGGCGTTCCCCTGGTACAACCAGCTAATGTTGGGTCGAGGATATCCCTGGAAACTACAGGAGAGTTCTAGTGTACTGTTTACAGGTCCGGAGCCTCCAACTCGTTCTAGAAAATACAATTTTAAGGGAATTTTTCAAATAATTTTTCCAATTCATCAGACATTTTAAAATAGATTCACAAAGATATCATTCAAACCTTCATAAAATGATCCATTTAAATTTTTAAGTCAGTTATTTATAAATCAACCATGGCAATAATTAAAGAGTTACTTAAAGTCATGTTGAAACCTACCTCAAAAACAGCTATTTCAAGATATAGTAATAAAATCATTCATTCATGTTTAAAGATCACATTAATTAATTAACATTGCTAGTGTTTACCATGTAGGAGAAAAATTTATAAAAAAAATATAACGCATTTATAGTTTTTATAAAAAAGTCTTTTCTTTGTTTATAACAAAATATTTTCAAAATTATTTGGTGTTAGTAATTTAGTTTTTTTTTATGAAAGCAAAAACTTATACTTACGAAAAATCTGGAATAAAACTCCTTTAAAATGATCGCACTTCTTTTCTTGCACGTAATCTTTTTGATTGTTTTCACATCTATTTGGTAAATTTTTTCATTGGAAAACTTGAAACCAATAGAAATACATTGATTAAATTTTACAAGAAAAACAAGATTTTAAATAATTTTTTACCTGTATTCTTTGGTTTGCTGTGTACAACTAGATGTGCAAGATCTCCTTCAATGAGACCATCTCCTCCATCTCCAGCTTTACACTGGTATACTCCAGTATCAGACCAATCTATATTCTCAACAGTCAGTTCACTAGATACCAGGCCGTCACTTGTCTTGGAAACCTTAAATAGGTAAAACTATTAATCAATTACAAAACATGGTGCTATGAATCCGAAAAATGGTTGGTCCCCATTGTCCATTTTCTCTCAAACACGATTCTCAACCGGGTAAACATAATTTCACCAACAAAATTATTTAAAAAGAAGAATCAGAATTATTTCCTCGTTAAAAGAAATAAGTAAAACTTAAAGATATATTATTAAGCTAAATCAAGATCCAGAATTAATTCTAAGAAAGAAAGGATTTCTCAAAAAAAAAGGAAATAATTCCCAGAATAATTTCCCCCTTTTAGAATGAAATTCTGCGGCATGGCGTTTGGAAAACTCTCACTTGGGATATTTTAAACTTGGTAAGAGACTTGGTTCTAAAAAGAACTTTATCTTGTCTTAAAAATTTACCAAGATATGAAAATACACAATATATAGTCATAATCTGAAAGACCCCGAACTAATTTGTTATTGATGAGACGACTTTACAAACTAATTTTACAAATATTGTACCTCAATACTATATTTCCCAGCTTCTTGACTGATATTAGTTCCATCTTTAATCCACCAGAGAGACAGTTCAGTAATATCTGCCAGATATTCAACAGAACAATTAAATTCTACTTCACCTCCAAGTAAAACCTAGAATTAAAGAATAAATCAGGGGCAAATATTTTCTGGAAAATCATCCCACCGCTCTTAATGAATCATTTATCCCTAGTAAATTAGGCATTATACTCCAATAGGAGTCCTGAGAATCAGTACCACTTAAACATTTTTAGAAAAAATTAGGATTTTTAGGAAATAATAGACATTTTTAAGGGGAAAATGAATATTTTTAGAAATAAGTGTTTTTAACTGTTCAAATAGGTAAAAAAAAACTTTAGGAGCAAGCTCTCATTTCGAGAATAACTCCTTATCTGTATCATGGTTAATCTTCTTTCTTTGTTCATATTCGATTAAGATGAGATAGTGTAAAAACGATACAAATTTACACAATCCCCCCCCCATCCCCTCATTTACTTATTCTCTTTTCCTTTACAATCCCCCCCATCCCCTCATTTACTTATTCCCTTTTCCTTCCCTCTCCCCCCCCATCCCCTCATTTACTTATTCCCTTTTCCTTTACAATCTTACAAGGGGGGAGGGCCCTAGTAAAATCAATGCTAAAGGAAAAAGAAACAAAAAAAGAAAATTGGTAATATTTTTTTAACGGTAAAAAAGCCAAGTTTCATGCATTTAATGTGAAAAAAAAATTTCTTAGTGGAGGAAGGGGGGGGGAGGGGTTGTATTCAATTACCTGTTTGAGTATATCTGGTGCTCCTTGAGCTCTAGCAGTTTCTCTCGCTCCTCTGTATACTTCAGAATCTTTAAGCTCAACTCTTGAACTGAACAGATCATCGTACTGTTCATCTTCTAGTAGACGAGATGATCGTAACAGCTGGGTATAGGTGTGTCTTCTCTGTTTGTCTGACTGTTCTCTTTTGTGCTCTTTGTTGTGACGTTTCAGCCCAACTCGTGGATTTTCTCTTAATCCTAAACACAAATATATGAGTAAAGACTTCGAACTGAAAACTAGTTTTGCATTAAAATTAATCAATAGTCCCTCTACTTATACGTTAATAAGATTTTCAGATTTTTTTGCTGAATTTAGCTGAGGAAAGCTTGTTAATTAAAGTCTCGTCTAATTTTAGGTCTGATACGATATCTGAGCCGAGCGCTGTGGCAAGGAAAAACTGGGGGGGGAGTGATGTGGCATTGACAGACTACAGGGCCGAGTGCCACGGCCAGGTCAGTCCGGGAACATGTTCAACTTTGTCTATGTGATACGCATGCGATCCAAAAAAATTTAGAAGGGAGAAGGGGGGGGTTGATACATTTAGATGTTTTGGTAATTTCCTGGTATATGATTTATGGCACCGCCCCCCCCCCCTCAATTTAGTACATTGATCTCATGTGTAGCAGATGGATATAATTGATCATGTGGCCGCAGCGCTAGGCCCACTAGCCTGTCCTATCCATGGCGCTCGACCCCTTGCCTGTCCTAGCCGCAGCGCTCGGCCCAAAAATGTTCTAACCTAATCCTTAAATAGCAAATATTAAATAATAATAATTTCCAGCATACTACTACTTAAAAGAATATTGAACTAAATAAATAAAAACTAAATAACTAATGCTAGATAATGAGAGGAGAGAAATTCGATTTTAATAACTATTTTAATCGTCTATACAAAATTAATAAATAATCAAAAGAGTAGATTATGCTTTAATTATTAACATTTAATGTTATATTTCGTAAATAAGAATATCTTAAGGACTTACTATATGAGAAAATGCAGGGCAGAAAAAGAATAAAAACCAATCTTCGATACATTTTAATTATCTTCGTTTTACGGCTGTTTCAACAAAAAAGTCAACATGTCTGTTCATTCTTAACTATCATCTGAAATTCTTGACAACTTAATCACAATAATTTCTCACAATTTTACGTAGTATCAGATATTTTCTTAAAACATATTTTTTGTTTACAGTTTCGGATAATAAAACATCTGCCATTATTGTCTAAGGTAGCGGAGGGTTAAACAATTGAGAAAGCCGCCCTAAACACTTTCTTAACAATTCCGTTTTTATTGATTCGGAGAAAGTGTCCGCTAGAGGCGCTAGTGTAGATATGTTTTCTGTTTATTTACATATAAACATTAAAAAGGATTTTTAAGCAATTCGAAAATTACAATAATAATATTTGAAACTTTTTCACATCTGTAAGTTTATTGAATAACTGTTAGAAGTTTTGAATTTAATTTTTAAAATATTGTAATTAAGTTTAGTGGGGCGCTGCCTTCATTAATGACAGAAACGGAACTATTCAGCTGCTAGTTTGGGGAAACAAGAAGATCTGGCCCAAAGAATTTCGAAACTATAAACTGGATCAAACTGGGGATTAAATCCCTTAGTGTACAGTGCTGGATCAAGTTGAAGGGTTGTGACGAATATATCACATGGTCTAGGATGGGGGAGAGAGGGATTTTGCAAGAAATCATGGGGATTCTGTAGCATTATCAATTCATTGTCATGCCAAAGATGGAAACAGAAAACTTGCCTATGATGAGAGGACTGGGATATAAAGCAGGAGAAGCAAGGAATCCCTACTCAACTTCCTATTCTGTTGGAGTGGGTCAAGGGCTATTTCATAAAGTGAAAAAGGAAGATGATGAGGACGAAGATCATGAAGATCATCTCTCAGAGTTTGAGAAAGACCAAGAGTACTTCAGCACTCTTAATGTTGAACTAACAGCTGATCATGTTCCTCTGGGGGAAATCCTTGAAAGGCTTCAGTCTGATGAAGGAAATGATAGAAATAATTTTATTAGGTTACATGCTGTAACAGATTCACATTCTAACATCTCGGCTACTCTCAATGTTGCAACTCTAGATCTAAGTACGCATTCAACATTCCAGCAGCATATAAGTGAAATTCAGGACGTACTGCTGAACTTTAAATCTGATGCTCCCACCTCACCCAACTCCACCTCCTCCTCCCTCCTCTCTTCCCCCTCCTTCTCCCCCCAAGTAGTACCTGAAGTTAACTCCTTTCTGAATAATAATATCTTAATCAATATTGATGGTAAATCTTTATCCCACTGCTCAGCAATGTCCCCTCAGCACTCAAATCATGGCTATGAGAACATGAAATCTAGTCCTCAGGAATGTAATTTGTGCAATAAGATGTTTGGTAATGCTTCAGCTCTGGCCAAGCACAGGTTGACCCATAGTGACGAGAGAAAATATCTTTGCACTGTTTGTCACAAAGCATTCAAGCGGCAGGACCATTTGAACGGGCATCTGTTAACACATAGAAATAAGAAACCGTTTGAGTGCACTGCAGATGGTTGCAATAAGAGCTATTGCGATGCAAGAAGTTTAAGACGCCATAGAGAAAATCATCATTCTTCCAAAGATGAGAAAATGGTTTCTCCTGATAGTTCTGTGTCAAGCAATGTTGATATGGATGAGAAATCAATGGGATCTGACAGTTTCGACAGTTTACGAAACTCTAAACCATACAAACCAGGCCAGGATAAGGATAAGGCACTAATCAAGCCTGAACTTCAAGCCTTGAATATCCTTGAGAAATACATAAGAAACGACAAGGAAAGCTTCCAAAATAGCTCTAAGCTAAAACCTGCAGCTCCAACAATCCTACACGGGCCTAGTCAGCAGTCTGATGTAGTGGTAAACATGGTAGAATGTTCTATATGTTCAAGAAGATTTAAAAATATCCCTGCTCTAAATGGTCATATGCGACTGCATGGTGGTTACTATCGAAAGGACAATGAGAAAAAGCAGGAAATCAGAATTTTCCAGTCTGAACCTATGTCAAATCATACAGTAAGCAACAATGTCAAGAATCTCATTGAAGAAAAGATTATTCAAAAACGCAAACTTGAACCTGTTTTAACTAGGACCATGGGTTCTAGTTCTGATGCTAAGTTTCAAAGTCTAAATGTACCCTCATCCTCTTCCTCCCATACCCAGTGCTCAACCAGTGTATCAGGTTCATCTGAACCTCCATACAAGAGGATCAATCAGAAACCTTCTGCTCTAGACAATCTTGTATTTCCCATCTTGCCGCAGCCAGACACTTATAAGCTATTGGCTAACCTACAAAACAAACAGTCAGAGATGGGAGGCTTTCTTCCCGCTCAACCTCTTCCAAATGTACCTTTACCCAGCAGTAAATGTTATAACCCGGTGAAAACTAATGATACACATGTTAAATCCGCACATATGTATAATTTGCTCAAAGTTGACAACAAGCATAAAACTCCCAGGTTAGGGGCTGAATATCAAGCAGTGGTCCCAGATCTGGAGATTCGAACGACTGAAGACAAGTATGGAGTTCTTCCCAGGGAGACCCAGATGTGGAGTCCGGCATCAAGCAATGATTTATCACAATCCCAAATAGATGTTTATATAAAGTTCTGTTTGAGTTCAGCAGTTTCTGTTGCGTTGACAGCAGAAAGTGCTCTTCAGGTTCTAAACTGGAACAACGGAGATATCATGAGAGCAACCCAGGAGGTTGTTAATGGTGCCCTGAGCAAACAGGAGTCCCCTCCTGCAGCCTGGACTCCGGATCATGTAGACATGTTCTATGAAGCTCTGTGTAAACACAAGAAAAAGTTTAACAAAATATCCGATGATATTCCCGGTAAGTCTAGCAAAGATTGTATCGAATTCTACTATTTTTGGAAGAATCTCTGTCGGGAAGAAAGTCAAAGTTTTAAATCGATCATCAGTTCTGTTGAGGACCCAGAGCCCAATCTTCTTTTGTGAAACCTGAGCTTGCTCTGACTAAACCTTATATATCTCAGTTGACCCTTATTCTTGCCAGGATACAGCGTGAATCCATTGCAAGTTTAGCAGGGTATCTGTTTGTAGATTTATAATTATCTAAACCTAGTAAATTCTGTATATGTGTACCCCATCCCAGTGAACATTGTTGTATATCACCTTTTCTATTCATCTTCATCTTAACCCTTTTTGTCTTTATTATAGAAAGATGTCCCTCCCCCATTTTATATTTTTAAATTTATTCATAGTTTTTATAATATTAGAGTTTAGTTTAGAATTCTCTGTTTTAAAATGAAATATTTGTTCAGTCTAAGCATACAGTTAGACAATCATCTAAACTTGGACAATAATACTGCTTAGTGCAATATAACTGTAATGTTTGAAGAAAACTAGCAATAGTGGCTGGACCATGTGTGGTGGTTATACCATTGATTTTTACCCCAGTCAAAAATTTAGTTAAAGGGATTGAAAGCGTAATTTTAAGTATTATCAAGTATTTATTAGATATCAATGTTTGTCATTACTGATCGAATAAAGGTTTCATGAGTACCGGTGTGAATCGGGCGTTGCCATCTGTGCATGGTGAGTCACTTGAAATAATACACTTACAGTCCCTTTAAATTTAATTTTTTTAATCATTTATTCCGTTTTTTATAAATAGTTGTGCCATATGTAAACTCAATGATCTCAAGATTTACTATTTTATTGTTTTGTCTCCTAAATTTATGCGACTTCTCAATGCAGAAACTAAAACTGCCGTTTTATTATTTATCAAGTATTCAGCTGCAATTTTTCATTCTTTGCATCCACTTTACAAACCAGCTCATAAGTGTTTTAAAATTAGGAAATTTAAGAACATTTAATCTTGTTTGAAAAGTCAATTTTTTATGCTTCTAAGTAAAGAAATTTAATTCAAGTTAAGAACCATTTAAATCAATACTAAGTTTACCGACTTAAAAGATAATTTTTTTTTGTACTCAATGATAAAAAATTTGTACTTAATGCTGAATCAGTTCAATCCTTTGTACTACGCATAAAGTTATTATCAACCCAGTTGCTCAATCCGTAAAATTATTTAATTTTTGTTTATTACCTCGATACCAGGATTATTTATATTAGTGACAAATGGTTACTAAAATGGAATTGTTTATTGAATTAGCTAATTTTAGTCTAGCTGTTAGTATGTGGAAACTGGAAACTTTTAACTTTTAGTTAGCATGGAAAAAGGTTAAAGCCATAATGGGAAGCATTAAGGGATGGGAAAGGGTTTAAGCTTGTATGGGAAAAATATTAGATACGCATGGGAACTTGGGAAGGTTCTGTTAAAATTTTAAGTTATAAAGAATTATTGTTATAAAAAGGGAATGAGGATAGAAGTAGAGATGGTATCTTGTTCATACAATCATCATATTTCAATCTTTTTCTGTCAGATCTAAATTGATTTTTAATATCTCATTTGAGAAAATACATTTATATAAATTGTTTAAATTATGAATTTTATATTATTGTTCTCAAATTTATAATGCAAGACTAGTACAACAATTTTTATAGTATTTAAAACAATTAAGTTAAACCTAGTGCAAAGACAAGTGTTTTAATAATTCCTTAATCTTGTATAGTTTTAACTCAGTGTCCCTTTCCTTCCCTGACTTTGCTCTATTTAACCCCTCAACGTATACTTATAAATTTTCTTATTATAAATGAATGTAACTAAACTTGCAAAAATCAAATGCATAAATTTTTTTAAATTTTTCATCTAACCCTTGTACAAGGTGTACACTGTACAATGAATGTACTTAGTAATAAATGTTTCTGTACCAGTGTGTCCACAGCTTTTACAGATATACCACGAGATGCATTATTTTTTTGTATCTTTTTCATGACTTGTAAACCTTTTTATCCGTTAAACTCTCCTTTTGGGGTTTACACGTTAAGGTTATCATGTATTAAGATTCAAAACAGGTGTTTGTTGCATATCATGTCTTATCTTTAAAGTCTGTGGTCAACCCCCTCTCTCGTCACCCGACTCTTGAATCTGGTAAATGTGATAAAAAAATATAGTTTATTAGTAACATAAAATTATATTAGAATATCGTTTAGTTCTCTATATACTGCTTTCATCAACAACTGTTTCAGTATTACCCCACTCAACTACCATTGTACTGCACTGTAACCAGTGTACTGTACTGCACTGAAACCGGTTATGTCATTTGACCGGCCTAGTGTGACCTGGGTCAAAGCCCTCGCCCTTCAACCTGTTACATTCTTGCTGTATTCAAAATTTGAACAAATAATTTTAGAATTATTTGTTAAAATTTTTATCTTTGTTAGGCCTAGGAACTGTTTAATTATACTCTTATCCTTGTTAAATAAAAACCTGCGTCTTTCATAATTTCAAATTGTTTTACAGAGTAGATCTAGTTTAATACAGTTAACCAGTTTAAAGTGAAATGATGATCGTGCTTAATTTTAGGTTGGTTAGAGTATTTCTGAGAACGTTTTTTTTTTGAAAGATTATAAAAGTTAAGGCTGCATGGCTGATAATTAAAATAAGAAAACAAGGACGAATGTCCGCCATTATTTATGTGCCATCATTGTGACATTTGGGGGTTAATATTTGCCAACACTCCTTTCTCGGGGTTATTGATCTGGAAGCTGTAGAGATCTAAATACATGACAATTGAGGTTTAAATTCCTTGTTTACAGAGGCGCAACTAGGACTTTTGCAAGGGGGG